TAATAATTTAAGTAAAATCATTTTGATGTTCCTGGTTTAAATGTCGCCCTACGACCTTGAAGGGCTATCAAATAAAGTGCATATTGCATGGAGACTGGACTCCATAAGATCTGCCTGTGGGAACGTCGCGCATGCGTAGTAACGGCTGCCATTTTGCTATAAAAGCTGTTACAGCGCTGGAAAACCATCATTCCCGCCAACATCCCAAAGTTGCGAGACCGAACGGAATAGAAAAATAAAGTTTTTTCAAACATTGAAAGTAGTAAAAAGTGCCCGTTCAACGCTCCAAATTCAAAGGTAAGTTTATTCCTCCGATTAGAATCGAATGAAATCTTAAGTGTTTTTAAAAGTTTAACATAAAACAATGAATTATTCCTTTGCTGAAATTAATATAATGTAAACAAATTCAGAAATAACTCGTGTTGTTGTAACCCAATTTAACAATAAGTGTAATGATTTTACACAATTAAAACTTGATCACTTTGAATAAAAACTAGTTAAGCAGTAGTTCAGAAAAAAAAAAACAATAATTATTTTCTAACTGTAATACGACTGTTTAATTATGTGTTAAATATCATGAAGCCATTAACATATGTATATAAATAAGATATATTTTCTCTATTTTAGGTGACTATCCTATATGTGTTACAATAACGGTTATAGTTTAATCTATTGCTACCTTCTTTAAAATACATATATCTAGGAGCAATATTCGCTGTTTGTGGGCTTAAGGGTCATTTATCTTTTTAACGGGTACTTACAACGCATACATTCAGTGATTTCTTATATGTTAGTTTTTCTAACACTGGTATACATAGATATAATTTTGAATGTACATAGATTAATTTTTTGAAATCATTTATGATAAATAATAACTATAGTTATATATAGTTTATCATAAAACATTTAAAAAGAAATCAATATGATAATTATTTGTAAGATTTATTATCATAAAATACAGATAACAAACGTATACGTCCCTTAGCTTTGATCGAGACATTTCTACTTTTCCACAAAATAAAAACGTTATCGCTCCCGTCGATTTAACTAGGTAATGACATTAGGTTATTAAATTCATTGAGAGAGCATGTTAGTTTTTATTGCTGCTGTTATTTTTAAACACAAAAGCCTTGGTCGAAAATGGTGCTAAGTTTTTTCACTTTTCAAGATCAGTTCAGACATTGAGGTAATAATCATAGTTTACAGATGAAAGAGAGGGTTTAACAGATATTTGTGTCGTAGGCATTTTGTAAAACGTAGCCGCCCAACACGGCATGACCTTGGTACAATTTAGTTTTTATAGGCAACCCGCCCTGGCTTCGTCCGATTAGCATTAAGTATTCGAAAAAAACTTATTGGTATCTAACTCCACTAAAATTCATAGAATTATCTGCTGAAGATTAGCAGAAAATTTCATTAAAATCGGTCCATGCATTTTTGAGTTCATAGGGAACATATACACATGTTATGACTTTCACATATAATTTTATACGTGTAACACTGTAAAGCCAAAAATCTTGTTGAATTTATTATTTTCCCTAAAATTTGAAGAGTAAAAATCGTAAATGAAATATATATCGACATAATTATGCTGTTGCGAGCGTAATTAGGACAAGGAACTATTATTTTATTGCAACTACTTTCACGATGTATCATAATGATATTATGGAATAATGTACCTATAAAATGGTGAAAGAGTTTCTGATATATGTAGGTTCCAAAGATTACCTTCCATTTACATACTCCGCAAATTTACTTTCTATATAATATCAGCATATTGAATATATGAAAAGTAGCTTTGTGAGCAATCGGATCTTATAATTTCATTTTTGCTACAAGAAATCTATTTCACTAACATCAAAGACCAGTTGTGCTGAAAGCGTAATCGTTCCAATCTCATAAATAGAAGGCATCTTACAAAAGATTATTAAAAAATGAAAATAGCTCGAAAAGGAAAAGTATTTAATATACTTCTTCTCTTTGAACGATTTTCGCTAACTTATTAAAAGACCATTCGGCATTACGAAATAAAGTTTGATATTAACATTTTTTCCTGTTATCGTGAGTGAACTTTCACTTTTAATCTTGTGTAGAGGACACGAAACTGCCTATGACGATATTAAATTTGCTTTTCCCGTAAATAGATTTCGGAATATATTGGATTTAGAAAGTTATTGAATATTACCTGAATTGAAAGGGTTTCCGATGTAATGTAAATCTACGCGTTTTAAGGTCACCTGAAAATTGTAATGTCAGTAAAATGCCATTGGTATCTACATTGATAACGAGTATATATTACTATGTTCTGGATCTGTTCTTCATAATTTAACGTTTTATGAAATTACATTTTTATGTATAAATATCATTCTGTGGACAATACGGCCAAGACAATAATAATTTACGGTGGTAGGGCCACGCAGCAGCCCCGGCTGTTGCATGAATGGGCAGGCTCGTTCGGGTAAGTACCACGACCTCACAGAAGACCGGCGTAAAGTGAAAGTATAATACTTTCGCGTTTCGTCTGGTGCGTGAGGTGGCCGAAGCCCAATTTTCAAAAGGTCGTCAACGCATCTGGAACTCTCGGGTGTAGCAGATGTCCATGGGCTGCGGTATTCACTTAACATCAGGTGGAACGTCTGCTCGCTTGGCAACTTTTCACATAAAAAAATAAATAAATAAACATAACGGAACGGAGAAGCTATATTTAAAAGCTATATTTGGGTATAATAGTTCTTAATCTAAATCGTATTTAATGTACCCTAAACGTTATAGTGCTTATTTCATTTGCAAATAAAGAATATATTACGTTTTATTATTTTATTGAATTTAGTTTTATATTGAAATAAATTTGATTTCTGTATATATGCCGAATACTGTGATTTGAGCAAGTAGTCATAGCTATGCCAGTCATTAGGCAAACACATTAAAAACTAAAAAACTCTTAAATCGGCGATTGTTATTTAAAATATAAAGAAGAACAAATAAAATATTTGTTCTTCTATTCGGGACATCAGTCACAACAACGACGTTGTAACTAAACTTTTGTCATCTCCTTTGTATAGTGCATGGTCGAGACGTTGGGCTTCTTAATGAAACTTTCTGAGCTGAGTTTTAATATAACACTTGAAGATTAAACACAACCCGTACACTTATCTATATACAAAAATACAAAGCTCTTATGTATATACTTTCATAAAAATAATTTCAAATCATTTCTTGGCTATATTCTTAATTGTTTGATTTAAAAAAGGATTAAATAGACATATTCCAATACGGTACTAAGAAAAAATAAAATCTTTTCATAAGTTCTTTAATACGTTAAAGTGACATATTTACATATATTAGATTCGAATTTAGAACTGACGGATGATGACAGACCACGTTAATTAACTATAACCACTGGTTGTAATGGTTAGTAACCACACGATATACGAGTATAATAAGTGTGTATTAAATAAGATTCCTTTGTAAAAATGTTTTTTACACGGACACAAATTGAGCCACAAAAAAGTATTTGATATATTACATTGTTTTTAGGTAAAATGAAATAAGTAACGTGGTTTAACTGTAGCGGGTTTATTGGAAATACTCTGTGCAATCATTTCAAGAATTTCAATTAGTAATGCTTTGATACAGTATACATTGATTAATTCCAACGTGGATTCCATTTTATTTGCTCATATTTGATTTATGATTTTGTGTGTAAAAACAACCCTATTTAGGAAATATATACAGATATTTTATATAACGTAGAAAAATATATCTGTATATAAACAGGTATATATATATATATATATATATACAGTAAATATAAGTTCACTATCACAATTTTAAACAATGTAACGTTGAAATTGAACACGGACACGAGGCTACTACTGTGAACCCTCAATTAATTAAGAGCGGTTGGTAATTTAGTCAGAGCTTTTAAGCTTTATAGTTTGCTATTAAACTATTTAGCAGACTTGTAAATTACAAGACTGCTAAATAGTTTAGTACTCAACTAGATAGTACTGGTGAAATTTCAGATATTCATTTCCCAAGTGTCACATTTAACGTAACATTACTGAAAAACCGGGGCCCACTTTTTTTTAAAGTTGTCAACGCATCCACAAGCTCTCAGGTTTTTTTTGTGTCCAAGGGGTGTGGTAGTCACTTAACATCGAGTAAGCTCGTTTGACAACTATTCACAAAAAAAAGAAACTTAAATGTAAATTTTCATACTCAATGTAATACTCTAATTTTTCATTGAGTGTAGCCAGAGTAAAGTTTGAAATCCTCTTTACGTAACGTAGTTATATCTCAACAGGTTGTGGAATATTAAAATTTCCATCTGCAGTTAATTGCTTTAGGTCTCTCGCTAGCGTTCATGCTGAAAATATCTATTATTTCCTCATTGCTCAGGTGTGTGACGGGGTTGGAGCGCGCTCTGCTGTAATTGAATCTGCCAAGTTTATAACGTTCCAGGACAGACTATTATCCCAGTGCATGTTTTAATGGTGTTTACTTGTTGTCTCAATGTTTTATTTTCTATTGTAAATTAAGTTTAAAGATTTATAATATCCTTTTCCTTTGTACAAATAGAACAATAACGCTACATCTGCATTCGTGTTAAGAATATTATTTTAAATTATAGATCTTAATACTAATACAGATTATATTAATTTACAACTTGGAGTTAAAGATGATTTTAATGCCAGTAATTAAACGAAACGCTGATGTATAAACGATTTGTGGTTGTATTAATCCTCGCTACCGCACTTGATCCTTTTGTTGTCAATTTAATTAACGGATACAAAGGTTTTCATTATAAGTTATCAATATTAACCAACTTAATGCCGAAATAAATTCGAGTTATAGCAACTCACTGTTCGGTCACCTGCTTTTAAGCTTACAATTCTTGAGTTACTTCAAATGAAGTAGTACCTATCTACGAAAGACTTAAAAAAGGTTAATCGCAGTTAGTATACAGCAATAAGCCTTTTTTAGTCTTTCGTCGTTCGATGATAGTAGTAACAGGGCTCCTCTACAAGGTTGGCCCAATGTTGTGGAATTGCAGTTGATTATAGGCAGCGGTAATCATTTAATTTTAGGTTAACCGCCTGCTCGTCCGATCCCTTCTGTTATATAATTTATAACAAATTTATAACTTTGTTCTCGTAGATGAAGGAGCTTACTCGTAGGAGTAATAGGAAACATCGCTTTTTATTTTGCGCCACTTTTATTTTGGCCCTGTCAACTTACATCGACCAGGTATGTTAAACAAATTTGTAGAAATTTTTAAAGAATGTATTTTACTTCCTGGTATACTATAATTAACACACACCTGTTTATACTTTGCTTAATTACATTTTTGATTTTGAAAGGTTCTTAGTTTACCCGTCGATTCTTCGGGTCAATGGCCAACATTTGCCCGAAGAAATATAGCAGCTCTGGCTAGAGAGGGATACCTGAGAAGTGCTGCGTCTGGCTACAAGAGAAGCATTTCAACTCTCGCTAAAAACGGCCAATTGCCAACCTATAGGTCCCCTTACAGCGAAGCCAGCAAGTCGGACCAAGATGATGAGGCGACACAAGACAAAAGAAACGTTGCCTCTATTGCCCGTTTGCGCAGCTACACAGCCCTGAAAAGGAACATACAGTCATTGGCTAGAGATGGATATCGCACTGGCAGGGGACAACACAACCAGGGCAATTCTAAACGCAACATCGCATCCTTAGCTCGCAATGGTATGATTCACAAGAGGAACGAATTAGTAGGGGACGAGTATTACTATCCGTTCTACCAGGACCCCGTGTCGCTCTTGCCGGAAGGAGATGGGCCGTTTGACGTCAACGAAATATACGGTTTCCAACGGTCAGTTAATCCAGACGAGTTGGCTCCGATGTCGCGAGTTTTCAAGCGGGACGAAATGGACTTGTTGTATCCGTATAGCACTCAGGAAACTGAATACAACGATAATTGGTATCTGAAACGTGGAACGGCGGGCTTGCCAGCTCACGGGTTGTATAGGCCAACTTATATCGAACCCGCTACACGCGTCAAGAGGTACATACTCTCTCTGCCGGACGAGATCGATACCAACGACATTGAGACGTCCGAAAAGGACGATAACGAAAATGAAGATAAACGTTCTGTAGGTGAGTGAAGTGTAATGACAGGTCCTGCAAATAAGATAACAATGGCGCGGTAACTGCATTTGCTATTATTACATCTGTTGCAGATGAAGATGACATCCGTGATAAATTTGCGAAACGTCACATTGGGTCGTTGGCCCGTTTAGGTCTTTTGCCGTCTTTTAGGTTCTCAGGAGGTCGTTATAGCAGATCTGGGAGAGCTAGATTGTTATTACCTAGTCAGGAACTATACAGGTCTTGTAAAGATAGGATATGAAAGCAATCGATGTAATAGATTTGTTAGAAAGACTAAATGTGCAGTAGAATTCTGTGTGCTTTGACGCTTCTGAAATAAAATGTTGCGTAGTAGCCAAAAAGGCATGTTTATGTTAGTTGTATAATAATTATTGTTACTAGAATTAGATACTTGTTTAAGTTTCACTTTTGAATTTTACAATTGGTTTATTGGCATATTCAGGGCAACGTCGTTGTGTAGTTATGCTTTAAAATAATAGTAATCTATCGAGAAATTGATGGGTCAAAATTTCCATTATCGATTAGAGGAAGTTTGTCGTAACAGCACTTAGTTATGCAAATGCTTGAAATAGACGTGTCAATGAAAATGTTTTATGAAATGTTGATGTTCTTAAAAAAAGCGATACATGTAATAAAGCTGATTTCGTTTTGCAGGAAGCATTCCGCTGACGAGAATTTCGGAATTAGGTAAGGTCAAATTTAAAATTTTCTAATAACCTAAGAAAATTCAGAGGTCCCAGTTTTTTTATAATATCCGTTTACAACAATTTAAACAGTTATCTTAATCACTGCTGCAGTTTATAAAGCACACCGTTTTCAATATTCAACGTTCTTGCGATTCTTATCTGGATTGGTTTATTTTCTGCCGGTTTTAGATTATGATGTCTAAAGATGCTCGAAACTAATCTGGAATGTGGTTGACTTTCAATAATCAATTTGTGTTTGTTTGTTAACAGGGAATATTTCTCTGGTCCCGAAGTTGACGCAGCAATCGATTCTGACGACTCCGACTTACCGCCGCCGCCAATACTTGCTCACACGCACCCGACCGGTCGGTACCTCCACCGATCGCTAAACGACCTGCCACCATCTCCTATACTCCCGCAAAACCCATCCAACAGCATTGACGCCTTCAGCAAGAACAACTGGCAGACGAATTCCAAGGACGTGCCGAGGTTCTACCATTTTAGGTCGCTGAAAGTGCCGTACCATTCTTCCGGTAAGAGGTACCTCCTGCTGCCCGCTGTCGATAATATTATGCTCAGGAAAAACTACCGCAATAGCAGTCTGCCAAGCAGGCGTAAGAATCAGTAGCTATGCCGCTGCCGAAGCGATGCTGAATCGCTAAACTCTGATGGAATCAGGGGTCAATAGCTTTACCCAATCTATTTTGTTCATGTCAAGGCATCGTCGTCGGCAAATAAACATAGGCTAACTAATAAAAACGTGGGGACAATAAGCCCAAATAGTAATTAGACAATAATTATATTAAAAAATATTTACTAATGTAGTATTTGATGTTAAATGTTGTGATTTATATTGATTTTATCATAGATAAATTAAACACTAAGTTAAGGAAAAATATATCAGATCGGATTCATTATAAACGACATTGGCTTGATCCTGACATACGATTAAACAGAATAATAATTAACGTAAGTTTTATAAGATTTCTTAAAATTATGTTGTCATTCGCAATGTACGAAAACCAAAAAATAAAGTCGTAGAGTAATCGTGTAGTAAGCTAATAAAAAAATTTTTTAACTAACTAACTACTTTATTGTTTATAATATTTTTATTCCATAAAATAGCTATTTTGTTATTGTATTCAAACGTGTGATGGTTATCGATTTTAATATCTTTGAAACCTTAATATCTTTAATACTTATGGTCTCTTTATTGACTGGAATAAGCTGTGTTTGACAAATAAATTAACTTTAATGATATAATCTATTTAAATACTTTGAATTATATTTAAATCAAACGTTTAGCTTTACATCAACCTTATATTCTAATCTAATTGAATGGAGCCTATCCATTCTTGTATTGACAATAAATCGTCAACGTGATGTGATCATTTTATTGATAATAATATTATAATATATACTGTAGTATTTATTCTCTTTGCAATGTCTCTATTAAAATTTTATTGTAGATAAGTTTATTCGATTTCAATTTTAATATTATGTTAATTGTAAATAAAGGACAATAAAACCGAAATGCAGTTTAATTCAAAGTACCTTGAGGACCGAGCTTTGCTCGGTTTGTTTTTTTTGGTAAATCATGTATTTCGGAAATTACATTTAGATACAAATTACTGAGTAATGAAATATGCATAATATTTTTCGATCTTACCGACGTAATAATAAGAAAATATGAACTGGTGTTTTTCACAAAAGAAAGAACTTTAAAAAAAAAGGAAAAAAATAATAAAATAACAAATCTACAAAAAATAAAGAAAGCAATGATCTGGAATCGAAAAAAATGTAAAAAAATAAGTGTGTAAATGATCGTGATACGAACCACGTTCGCCACGTTTGCCGGGTCAACAATTTAATTTTGTTTTGTGAAAATCGAAGTATTAAACGAACGAATTAAAATATTTAGGTATTGTTTTTTCCGATGTCTCCTCTTGTCTCTGGTTTGTTAAGTTCAATATAAAAGTAAACTGTAAATAATTAAAGGTGGTAAACAAACTGGAGGTTTACCTGATGTTAAATGATAATCGCCTCCCATTGGCATTTGCAACACCCATTGGGTTGCAGATGCGTTGCCACATTTTATTAAAGTAGGTCCCGGCTACGTCACTCATCACCCGAAACGCAGAAGTGTATCACTTCTACTTCGCACCGATGTTCTGTAAGATCGTGGTACTTACCCGGACGGACCTGATCAATCGTGCAACGGCGATGACTGTTGCGTGGTCCTGCCACAATAAAATTAAAGTACACAGGTATTCATTAAAACATTTATTTTGTTATCTTTAACAAGATGTCCCTTCTACAAATTTTGACATATAACGATTAAATCAACCAGACGAGGTGCCGTTGCAAGCGGAGCCTCCGATGAATGAGCAGCGCCCTTGGTTGCAGTAACGAAGTAAGCCGTGGCATGTTTTCAGAATTCCGATGTTGTTGGACAGGCAGAGGAGGGTTTGACGGCAGTTGGCGCATGTACGACCTGCCTAAAATTGAATAAAACTGTTATCTCAGACGTACGGCTTAAAACAGAAAGGTCCAGACAAGGCAGGCCATATTTGATAATGTGAGTTCAGTAAAGAACTATGTACTAGAACTATATACACATATATTTAAAAGTCAATACATTTAATCGTTTTTTAATCTGACGGCATATACAGCTTTGGATATTGTATCAAGGGACAAATTTAGGGTTAGGTATCAGGGGCTCTTGGCTTGCAGAACTCCACAAGGAAGGGATAAATAATATTTTTAATTAAGAAAAACATACAATTTTAAATTTATTTAATATCCTGTGAAATGGGCAAGAACAGCTTGACTTTGATCCCTTGGGTTAAAAAAAAGATTATTTGCGATGCTACCTAATTAGACACTTTGGCTGCCTCTCATCTAAGAGGTACTGCGGTCAGGGCCGGGGCAGCAACGGCAGCAGCTGAACTAAGTGGCGCAAATATGACTCTCTAGGTTTAGATTATGTATTTGTGTCATTTGCTGTTGAAACTTTAGGTCCGTGGGCGGGGCCTCAAATTTCGAAAACTGAACGGGAATTGGAATTGACTTCGGATGTAGCATGTATCATAATAAAACAGATTTAATTATAAAAACTAGATTTCGGACTATCATGACTCTGAAAAGCCTTTCAAAATTATTCCCACTGCATATTGATAGTTATTTACTCTGAGACAGTCCAGTGACCTGGCTGAAATAATTTATGATTTTTCGATGAAAAAAACAAGCAATATTCTTCATTTGTAAATTTGACTAATACATATATTATATTTGTTTTTGTATATTTTGAGTATAATGGATATATTATTGAAAACTACGAGAAAATGTTTTTTCATCTGGTTCCGAAAACTTTTTGGGGTCTACTTGGTTGCTCCGGGGTCACCTTTAAATTCGACCATCGCGTTTGTTTGATTTTACCCAGCCCTATTGATGTTTCAACCTGAGGTGGCTAGTCAGTCGCACACGGAACGGTAACTTTCGCATACGATTTATCCAAAAAACTGGATGCTAAATGATATACAGCTAGGCTAAATAGATTCACGCCCCTAAAATTCGATCAAATGTTCGATATAGTAGTAGTTTCTGATATTTTAAACAGTAAAAGTTGATATTATTTTATGTTAATAGTTGTTGACTAAGCGGTTCTTCTGGTGTGAAGTCATTATCGCTAAGGACATTTGCAATTTTTGAGCCCTGATTACCTCAATCGCCAGAAGAAATGCAATGAGAAGATTGTCTTAACTGATATCAAATATGGTGTTCATAAGTGAGGGTTGCATACATACCTGAGCCGTGGAGTTACAGCTAACGAACCGAGTAAAGAAAGTTCTGGATCGGTCGTGGTCATGTTCTCGTCCATTTTCATTGTCGGCCGGTGGGTTTTGTTTGGTATCGGTATCAGATGATTCTTGAGCAAAAATGAGGTTCGCTGCAATCTGTTCAAATATATAACTAGTGTATTTATTTTACTATCAAGTTTGGTAACGCTGCTGATCTGCTCAAATGTTTCAATAATTTAATTTTGAAAAACTAATAATCTACATATTTACGACAAACGTACGAGTATATAGGTCAGAGGGGAAGTTGATAAAAATTATTAGATTTTTTGTTTATTGTTCAGTAAATTAATTATAAAATAATATAAATAGTACATAAATAGGTTAAATTTTTGTCAATTTATATAGTTTTATCTGATTTTTGAGTTGTTGTACATATGTACAAGTATGCGCAATAAAGTTTTTGTATAGGCAAATTTTGAGCGTAGTAAATCTTACCAAGGCGGCAAACAGGAAAATGAATTTCATGTTCAGTGCCATGATGGTCGTAGTATGTTTAACTTCCAAACTTTAAACACATAGTGAAGATTAAATTTTCGCCTAGGTTTATATATTACTAATGAAGAATAATGCTATTATTAGTATTAGAATACTATACTATAGCATAATATATTATATTGCTAGGGCTGCCTTTCTTATAGTAACGGCAGTAGAAAAATATATTAATCTTTATTAATTATCGCGTAGGTCAATGTCTGGTTTCTTTCCAATCTAAATCTTCAAATTAAATGTTGCCAATTGACAGATGCAAAAATTTGTAAAATACCGTGATCATTGTTACGGAATGGTAACATAATAATGTCTAAATAAATGTTTATCAAAGAAAAGGTACCTTATTTTGATCTTTAAATAATACAAACTATCAATGGATGGCATTGTCATATATCATTTATAAGAAACCTTTTTACGATTATTTCATAAAAACATTAACTTTATTATATTCAATTTGTCAGTTTTTTATCAATAGCGGAAAAAATATGCTTTAAATTTTTTTTGAATCATCAAGTAAGATGAAGAATTATGGATTTAACATATAGAGATTTTACTCCTGTTTGAGATTATACACATCTTACGATACGGAGGACTGAACTTTGCAACGTGTGAGCGCCTTTGTGCCCACACTGATTGGCTTCAAAAGTATTATTGCAATTTTCATTTTACAATTTAAGTTTTATTTTACAATTTTGTAATAAATAAATGTTGCAAAAGCCCTAGTCCATTTACATGATTTTAGTAGTTAGATATAACATATTGTTAAAACCATTAATATTATAATTAAGTATGCAACGATTTTGCTAAAAAGAGACAATACGTTGAAAACAAGTCGTGATGTCGTGATGCATGAACCACAGCGACGGAAGTATGTTGGCGTTCCTTATGGCTTGAAGTTCGAACATTGATGATGAATATAATCATGCTATTTCACAGTAAGTTGCTTTCATCGTATTTTCAAAGAAGTTTTCAATGACCATACGAACGTAGTGCCAACTAAGTGGCATGTTATTTAAGATATGACGAAATGTAACTATTTTTCAAATTGATAATTTTTATTGAGTGTGAGACCAAACTGATTTCCTGTTTAGTTTATAATGTATCTGTTTTTTTTATCGTAATGTACTCTAACAGTTACTAAACCGCGAACTGAACAGCCTTGATCTGATGTGATGCATGGAAAGTTTACAACACTTCTGAATAATCCCATTCTAAAACTAGATGATGATTTATCTTAGTTTTTGTGCGTTTTGTATGAGTGAAAGGGGTAAGCGAGCAGGCGGCTCTCATGATATTAGCAAATATACAAGAAGATACCGTGAAGTGTTTGAATAGGAAATTAATAATTAAACGATGTAAATCGAGAGGATAAATTGAAAAGTTGGATTTCAGTTACCTCATGTAACAGCAGGAGTTGCATGAGAAGATATTTTAGTTTTTTTCTTTACTTTATGTCACTATGTATTTTGCTTCATATACCTATTAGTGCGTAGACATACTCATTGTGCTAGTGTATGGCGCAAGTATAGAATCAATTGGGCAAAATACGCATAAAATCTATAAATTATTTAATGAAAAAATAAATAAATAAATAGTGTGTCCAATTTTATTTTATTAATTTCCGTTTCAATAAAACGCTCAATATTACAGAAAGAATACTGATATATATTTTCGAATACACTCCAAAAGTTAATAAAAGCATGGATATACTTAAAAAATAGTTTATGATGTACAATATCACAATTCAATCTCTTTGAACAAAGACAATTTTAGTGCTGTTACAGACCGACAAACTTAGGGGCCGTTCATTAATTACGTCAAAAGGGGGAAACGTCACAAAATAATCTAATATCAAAAATCCATTTGAAAAAAAGCAATTAGAATCACTCCATTGTAGGGTTTAACTGTGATAGTGTATTTTTGATTAAAAAGAGAAAAACTCGCTTAATTGGAAGTTGATTCTGGTTGGCTAGGATTATCCTGTGTGTCCTTTGTACTGGCGCAAGATTCATCGGGGGTCCGGGAACATTTTCCGTCTTTACAATAATTCTGTATACCGCGGCAGGTTTTTAGTATACCTTTGTTGCTTGGCATACAGCGCAGCTCTTGATTACAGCTCTTGCAACTACGTTTCTGTAAAATAGGCATTGTTTATATATATTTTTTGACGGGGCCTATAATGACACCACCATTCTGTTACAAATATTAAAAAAGTTTGAACTAAAATTAAGGTTTTCTGTGGTACGGCCACGCAGCAGCCTTGACTGTTGCATGAATACCTCACACAAGACTGGCGTTAAGTGGAAGTATGACAAACACTTTCGCGTTTCGTCTGGTGAGTGAGGTAACAGGAGCCCAATTTTCAAAAGGTTGTCAACGTAACTGTAACCCTCGGGTGTAGCAGATGTCCATGGGCGGCAAGTATAAATATATTAAAATCAATTACTTTCTTGGCGAAGTCGGGTCTAGAATCTAGATCCCAAGGGTATTGAACACTATCGCTTATTTGTCCGGTAACCGGTCAGTCCGGTAAAAAATGCAAGCCTCATACTATTGCCTTATTTGTATTACTTTAACAAAAGTGTAAATAGTGAATCTTTTAAAAAAAAAACATTTTATTAATAAATTACGGGTAGGCTATTATTTTTTTAAAAGGTAACTTGTTGATGCTATTCTAACATAATGAATAAAATCCGGTCTTTATACGTCCAACTTTTCGAGAGTTATCGTCACCACCTCGTAAAATAAATCCAGACGTCCACGTAAACTGTTTTTGATTTTTAATAAAAAAAATATTTATTAAAAGAATGAATTTGTTTTTTAACGGAATATGAAATTAATAGCGGATTTAGACCTCGGCCCGTGAGGCCCAGGCCTACTTGACTTTCACATGTCGAGAGTAGAAAACAACCTTAACACCTTCGCGGTATGAGGTGTTCTATAAAAGTACTGACCAATGTTGTGTAGTTACAAGGAACTATGAGGATGGGCACTAGATTAGTTGGCAACAAACTGTTGTTTTCTTCCTTTCCAGAATTAGTTAGTTGCTGCGCCATGTAAAAGTTGTTGACGACCTGAAATAAAAATACAAGAGTAATAAAAACATGGATTTTAATGAAATTTTACAATAATATAGCTTATACATCAGAATAAGACATAGGCTATAATTTATATACATATAATTTATATACTTTATGTATATCTGTCTGAATGTTACGCCTTCAGCCTATTTTACGCAGACGTAGTCGCGGGCAGCAGCTAGTTAAATATGTTGAGAAAATAAACAAATGATAAAGTAATTTTTATATTAGTAGTGAAGTTAATTATGTTATATTAATTAGTAATGAAAAAATTATATTTTGTTAACTATTAATGAATAATAGGGACTTAAGTAACGTAATACGTAATATGTTATAAAATAAATTATATTCTCTAAGAAAAGTAAGTTAATACTTCTTCTTTCTCTTGCTCTTATCCTACACTAGGTGGGGTCGCCACAACATGTCCCTTCTACTTTCTTCCATCAGCCGTCAATATCAATACCCCTTTCGCAGACATATCATTCTTCGCACAGTCCATCTAAATCTATCACGGTGAATATATTTCTTGTACATACATTTAACAAAAGATTTACATAATTATGTGGACTTATTAAATGCTAAGGTGGACATTTTTATGCAACTTACCAATATCAGGAAGAAAACTATAGAGGGTATAATGTAATTCATGTTGGTTAGGGTGTTTTGCCAATGTATACGTTCTAAATTATTTCATGAAAACAGCTGAACAATGGATATATATACCTCGGGCTGTATGCTAATGCGTACAGATATAACCCACATCAAACCGTTAAAGTACGGACTTTTTATAGAAATTAGGTGCTTCTAAGCTAAATTTGCAGGAAATTTCGTATCAATTGAACAGTTTATTGTGTGACTATTTACATAGATAATGAAATAAAGGCACTGCTTATTATCTAATGAGCGGGCTACGAAAAATATATTGATTAATGTATGGTCCTCAAACATGTGTTTCGCTTTATACTTAAGTTTATATATTTTCTGTTTTTAAAAACAGTTTTTCTACAAAAACTAGTGATTGAAGAACATACGTTTATAGTAATTATTATGAACATACTTGTACATATGATATGATGATTTTTATTTTAAAAAAACATAACATAATATGTTCTAGGACCGATTATATGCAAAAGATTCCTTATTAAACCATCATAAGGCCTTACTTATACTATATATGAACACAATTTTAGAAAAAACAAAAGAAATATTAGTATAAACATTATTTTTTCTGCAGTTTTCTCACTCCTGTTTAGAAGATGGTGAAGTATTACTTTCTCCTATGGTGAAGTATTATCGGCTTGTCATATTATTTTAATTGTAAATCAATTGTTAAGTAAATGTGTGTGATTCACACATTAAAATATCCTTCTATGTATTTAATATTTAAGTTATTGAATTTTGTAAAAATATTGTAAATACAAAATGGTCAGCACTCAGATAATTCAATTAGTTCATATTGAGTTGTTTTACTTGCCTCGTGCTGTGAAGTTGTATTAAGCTTTTAGGACTGAACTTAATTAACGCAAGTTTAATGGCAGCATTCCATTACCACTTATCCAGATAAGCGTAATGCTTTGAGCGCGAATAATCTTTTCAATTAAAAATATTATTTATGAAAAGTATTCAAGTTAGAAGGTTGAAGATTTGTACGAGTAGCTTATTTAATTTACTTATATTGTCACTATGTCGTTAGTCTAAAATTATATTTCTTTATAAGCTAACAAGAATGCAGAAGTAGTTTATTGAACGTTAGGTGATTGTTCCAACTATGTATTTTTAAGTAGTAATTGTACTTTATTTGTTTTCAACCGACTTCAAATAAGTAGGCGGTTCTCAATTGAGTCGTTCATTGCGTTTACGGAGCGGGTTAAAAAAGTGTCTGAATATGTATTACATAAACAAATTTCTCGGCATCCAAAATATTTTTAAATGAGTTTTCATACTTTAAACATTTTCACAAAATGACTATTTTGTTTTCACAGGTATCTCTTCCCACTAGATGGAGTGATGGCCTGTACAATGTGTGGGAAGTCGATGGATGCAGGTGGCTTGGGATCTTGCTTCGTGAAGGACTTGAACAGGTTAAAATGATGCGTCTAAAACTTATATTCGCTTTTATCATTCCATACATTTTCTGTTTGCCGTTGAGCCGTGATAGCTCAGTGAGCCGTGATAGCTCAGTGTCCGGGCGCTCGTCTTTAATTCAATATACTCGAGCAACCTGAGTTCGATTCCCGGTGCCGGCACCAATGAAGTTTTTAAGTTTAAGTGCCGACTTATCACGTGCTCCGCGGTGAAGGAATACTTCGTGAGGAAACCTGCGTATTTTCGAATAATAACAAAAGAATATCTATATATTTCGAAAATATGTGAATTCCGCCAATCCGCAGTGGGGCCGCGTGGTGGACTATGCCCTGATACCATCTGCATAGAGGAGGCCTTTGCCCAGCAGTGGGACAGGTATAGACTGCTTACTTTACTTTTTACTTTTTTACATTTTCTGTTTTATAACATTTCTTTAACGTTATTATTTTGTAAATGAGTTGCCCCGACGAAGAGATACTTCAAAGTAGAAAAAAAGGAAGCATTGTAAAAAAAACACTACATTAAGTAATTAATATTTCTTTTTAATTAAAAATTATACAGAACTTTTCAATATTATGCTATATAGTTCCTGCTGTTACCTACGACACCATGTCCAAAAGGCTATAAAAATACACACAAATGTAACACGAATGAACGAGGAAAACTGTATAAAAATTTAAAAAACCACATAGTTGTAAACAATAATTGTGCCCTAACATTGGTGAGGTATATACTCCAAAATTAGTCGAATGATAAATAGATGCTCTTTATTTATCCGGAAGACGTAGAATTGCAGGCCTGAATTGGTGTACTGGAGCATATGCCATTGTTGCAGTGGGGTCGTTGTCCTCTGCACGTAGTCATGATACCCAAGTTAAGCCGTGAACAAAGTAGGGTCTGGTTACAACTGATGCAGGATCTGCCAGGCTGTAATAATAATTTTCCTTGTTATTATATAGCTCGAAAAATTATATAGGAACACTGATTATATTTATGCACTTTAATAAGTATGTTGCCTTAACTTGTGTATAAACACTTAAACTGTGACACAAGAATTTTATATACTTATTAGATTTTATTAAACTACTCTAGTGTGGGGTCCACATGATATTCTGCTACCCTGTTGTTACATTACTGAGTTAACCATAAATTATGACAATCTAGTGTATCGTTGGCACATCACGATAATAGCAGGAACTTCGTTCCAGAAAACATGCATTCGGTTGCATTTTACTTGCCTGTGTTGTATAGTTACATCTGACAATTTCCTTCGATATCTCCTGGTTGTTGAAGCCGTTGTTATGCCCCCCGCTTCCAGAATGTTCATAACTGTCACGACCGTTGTTGAAGTCGAAGGGGGGAAATTGGAACCCAGATCCAAAGAACGGAGGAAAACCGAACCCGAATGACGGGAAGCGATGATCATTGTTTGGTCCTCGTCTCGGGGGTTGCGAGTTATAATTAGGGCCGTTAGACTGTCCTTGAGCTGTGATTAACGTCACGGCCGTCTGTAAGTATCCACAGAAAAAAAATGATTGTTGTAATTTAATTTTCACCATGCGGTGATGCATCCATCCATACATTCATCAAAACATTAACGTTTGTGAGAATGTATGGATGGATATTTTTTGCTCCCGGCGAAAAACTACTGTTTAAAAGGGCATTAAAAATTCAACCTCAACTCGACTTTTATTAATCAGTAATGGTTTTCTCTTCACCCAGTCTATGGTTAACGGTCTTAGAAAATGAATAAAACGGATCAAGCGCTTCGCGATCAAACACTCAACAGAAATTTCCATTTCCATTTTGTAGTCAAAATATAAAGAACATTTAAAAAAGTAAAGTAAAGTAAAGTAACAATTTATATACATATGTCCCACTTTTGGGCAAAGGCGTAGGCCTTTTGATCGTGATGGATACGCTAATATTGCCATTTCTCCACTGTCGATCAATCTCTATATTCTATATAAGTTAGGGAGGGATACGAAAAATAACAAAAGAATATTAAAACTTCCTACGAGTTCATGGAAGTTAATGTGTACAATTTATTTTTTATACTAGTCGTTTGATTAGTTAAGGCGTTAAGTTAGGCAGGCGTGGGAGGCGCCAAGTACATCCTAAATCCTAAGACTGGCGCTGACGGTGATCTTGTCTGTTTATTGTCTAGTCACATTTATTTATATCTATAAGTTGATTTAGAAAATAATGAAGAGAAGAGAATGTCTCCTAACATGGAATGTGTATATATAAGATTAATATTATATGATGTTACCACAGCTAACAGAACAAGAAGGGACTTTTGCAGCACCATTTTGTGAGTTCCTCCTAATTGTAACTAAATAATCTTGCATGAAAACGCTTTATATACGATTCAACTACAATAAGCAAGGTGTGAATTCAAATTCAATAAAGGAGTCATAGGGATGTCAACTATTTCTACTATTTAAACTTCATGTATAAATTCTGTGAATTATTAGTTTCTTATTACAATAAATCACATGCTACTACATTTTATATATCTATATTTAGAAATGAATCGCTGAATGTGTTGCTAAGCGTAAATCTCGAGAACAGCTGAACCGATTTCGCTAATTCTCTTTTTATAACATTCCTTAAGGTAAGAGGAACGTCCTTACGGAGAGAATAATTTTAAAAATTGCCTGAAAAAGTCTAAAAACGACACTTTTCTATATTCCCATACAAAAGATTCGTAATAATACTTCAAAGTCAATTTGAACTTTAATACATTACCGTAAAGATTAAGTGTTACTGGAAGGGTTCCGGGAAGGCAACACATTTAAGTGACGTTAGTATCGTATAAATATTAATGACAATATATAAAAAAAATGTAATATATATATAGAATGAAAAGCTAAATAAGTAAAAATGAAGCATTTCGCAAATACGTTTTAAAATAGGTTTGCATCCCTAAACTGTTTGTCATTACATGTGTTTTGTTATGGATATTAACCATATTTATACAGATACTATAGGTATGTATTTCTAGAAATCTAGTTAGCAACTTAAATGAAAGGAAATCGTGAGGAGGAAGAGTGATGGGAAAACTATGTCTGCCTATGTATTTTAAGTCATTGTCTGATGAACAGTATGCAATAGTTTATTTTTGTTGCTTAACTTGAAATTTAACTAAAGGCGTTTGTCTATGATGATATACGAAATGATATTAAGATTTCTTTTTAAATAAAAACAATAAAATACTCTAAATTTAAGAAACGATGTCTATGTGAATTATTGTAGATATTAGTAAATAAGAAAACATACATGTACTTATTTACTTATTGCGAATGCTTGGTTTTGTCTGTTTATTGTTTAATATCATACTGTATAATTTTTCATTAAATATTCGACTAAGCACTATAATCGCATAGTATAGTATAATATAATATCGATTAATAGTAGTCAGAAGTAATTATTTTTCATTTCCACTTTTTAATTACTCGTATGTTTCTATTGCAATCTTCGAGTAAGAATATTATTTTTATAATTCGGAAGATGGTTCGACTTGTGGTTATAGTTAGTGGTATTCTTGAGTATTAAGATAATCGGCCAAGTGCGAGTTGGACTCGCACACGAAGGATTCCGTACCATTATCTATAATAAAGTAATTGGTAAAGTAGGTAACTATATGTTGTCTAGCAACCGCCTCGTCTTTGTTGTATGGGAGCCCTCTTAAATATTTATATTTTATTTTGTTTTTTAGTATTTTTCGTTATAGCGGCAATACAAATACATCATCTATGAACATTTCAACTGTCAAACTATCACGGTTCATGCGATACAGCTTGGTGACAGATGGACAGCCACATAGGCAGACACACAGAAATACAGCGGAGTCTTAGTAATAGGGTCGCTAATGTTATGTTTCTCTACTTTTTTAATCTATTTGTGGTAGGGCCACAGTCTACGCTGTTGCACAAATGGGCAGGTCCGTCCGGATAAGTACCACGACCTAACAGAAGACCGGCGTGAGTGGAAGTGTTATACTTCTGGGTTTCGTCTGGTGAGTGAGGTAGCCGAGGCCCACTTTACCAAAGGTGGCAACGCTTCTGCAACCCTACTGTATAAGAGCTTGCGATAATAAACACCTCACGATAAAGACGAAAATGTTTATTTACCAAGCATGCGTCCCCAACACTTTTTTGGACGGGGCGGAGTCCTGGACTACGTTCGTAAAACAAGAGCGCTGACTGGATTCCTTTCACATGCACTGTGTTCAGAGAATAATGGGCATCACGTGGAAGGATCATGTGACAAACAAGACTGTTCTAGACGCGGCACAGCTCCAAAGCGTCACAGCGTGGCTCGGGTATGTGGATCGGATGATATAGTCTCGTTTAAAAAAATCCTAGTAGAAATAGCGATATTGATCGCTAGGGATGTCCAATGACATCCCTAGCGATATTGATCGCTAGGGATGTCATTGGACAGTAGCTGATCGAGGAATGAGCCTCACCAAGAGCAGTTTCCCAACCCTTGCCCACCTCGGGGAGCATACACTTGTTGCGAGTGTGGCCGGGGTATGCCCTCACGCGTAAGCCCATATAGCTACCAACGCTAGTGTTGTCACCGTTATTCTGTTCAAAACATCTGTCACAGATGAAAAGGCCTATTATTATTAACACTATGGCCTATTATTTTTAGCACTAAAAATACAAGATGTTAGATGATGGCATATGGTATAGATGTACTTAAGAATATAATGATGCATCAAATTACGTTTAAAATACGTTTCATAACAATGTTAAATAGAAATGATTTATATCACACAAACCGTGTGAGAGTATAATCAAGTAATTTAACTGCTTAATTTTTTTACTAAAAAACTGGCCATTGCTTTACTATCATCCCCCTTAAAATTTGTAGAAAATCCCTCTCTTGAGAAGTAGTGATGTCTTAGATGGTGTATCCACTAGCACAATAAAATTTTATTCACCCTTGCTTTGAACAAACAAGTATTCGTCATTTGACGATTTTATTATGTTATGTTACTCCTTGTATGTGAAAGGAAATAGCTAAACCTTTTATTTCTTCTTTGCTTTTTGTAGTGTCCTTATCTCACTCTTTTATTTAATTATTCTGCAATTAATATAAACAAAAAGCTTCTTCACCGCTTGAAAATCTTGACGTCTTATCAAATTTATATTTGAACTATTAGGAGTGTGCAAGAATTTTATTAAGATCAGAATTATTGAATCTTCGAAGGCGAGCTTTTGTGTGTTAAAATCATTATGCTAAACTTTTGCTCGTGTAATTTACTTTTTGTTTATTTCAATAATTGATCTGTCCTTGGTTCTTATTATATTTATGTTTCAGGAAAAAGATAGAGATACGCCTTAGTAATAAAAAGATTAAAACACATACAAAGGATGCTTTTAATATTTATTTAGTAATAATTATGACATAATTTTCGGGAAAATCTTGTATGACTTTTTGTTTATTTACCCCAAATGAAAGATACTCCACCGCTGAAAATGGCGCTAGAACAATTAACGGAACATTTATTTAAAATTACATATCTTTTTATTAATACAACATAATCTACAATCCGTTTTAAACAGTGTATTATAATTATAATACATATAAAAAATTAATTATTTAATACTATTTATAAACATACATCAAAAAAATGATACATAAAGTATAAAAAATATAATATCTTTTTTTTATGAAAGAAAGTGGCAAACGAGCTGGCGGTTCACCTGATGTTAAGTGATAACCGCCTGCCCATAGACATTTGCAACACCCGTAGGGTTACAGATGCGTTGCCACCTCTTTATAATGTGGGCCCCGGATACCTCACTCACCAGACGAAACGCAGAAGTGCAACACTTCTACTTTACGCCGGTCTTCTGTGACGTCGTGGTACTAACCCGGACGGGCCTGCCCATTCGTGCAACAGCGAACACTGTTGCGTGGTCCTACCGCTGTTCATCTTATAAACTTTTACACGAATGCTATTGAAAATGTTGAATTATTTGTATATATTACCAAATGAAACCATTGTTATATTTTAACATACATACGGATTTTTCGCGTTTGTTTATATTTTATTAGACTTTTCGAAAATTACAGTGTTCATGATCACGGGTCAGATGGAAACGTCTGATGACTCCGTGGCATCGTTGACAAGGTATTGGCTTCAGCGCCAGCGGTCGTGGGTTCGATTCCTACATGGGACAACTATTTGTGTAACATGCAGATAATTGTTTCGGATCGGGGTGTTTGTCCACGTGCTAATAAAGTATTTAAAAAGTCAATAAAACACGGGCTAATATGATTATACAATAAGGGCTGTGTTGTTAAAATAAAGAAAAAACTACGTATAAATGTAATTGTGAAATCAGAAAAGTCAAAATTTTACCACCACAACCAATATGGTAATTAAATTTGGACAATATATTTATACACGTATTATTTGTATAATAAACCCAAGTTGGAACAAGAGGTTTGCGTCCTTATTCGTTAGGCTTATAGCAGAGGAATGGAAGTTTACACTACAAAGGTGACAAAGTCAAAACTGGAGTCATACATAGCTGCTTAGCATTAGGAGAGTTATTATGTAACCATATTTCTCTTACTTCGTCTGAAGTGGAGTTACACTTTGCACTTGGTGTTTCTGAACAGTGTCCATCGTTGCAATGATTCCTCTTTCCAACACAAGGAGCTAAGACTCCTACATTGAAGTGAGAACATAGCAGAAGGTTTTTACAACTAGCACACGATCGGGGACCCTAAAAGTAAATAATTAAATTAACATTAAAATATGTATACAGTATAAATAATTTATTTTTTATAATAATCTGACACGCGACATGGTGTTTTAAATTTTAGTGACGCGTTTTCCATCTTTAATGTCATGTATTATATACACATGAATGAAGTTATTATATGAATGTATCTAATGTATTTATTGAATACCAAATATGGAAATTGAAAAATGCCTAGTTATTTGCCAGTTTTCATAGACAGATGGGAAATAAAATTGTTTACCTTGTAGATTCGTACCAGCATTTTTTTTTAAAAAACCAGTCATTAATATTACATATATAAATGACTGGTTTTAAAAAAGTTTTGTAAAAATTTACTTGCCTCCGAAGTATAATTGCAACGAACAATAGAGTTTAATTTATTCTCTTCTCGATGATATCCATTCGGATGTCGCCCAGGTTCTTCCTTCTTGGGTTGATCACCAGACACCTCTGGTTTATCACCACCAGATTCTCCCAGAGCAGAAGCGATGCTCAGGGCTACCTGAAGCGAAATATGTAGTGTTTGGATTTTATTTACTAAGAATTTAAAGTGACAATCGAATAAGAAAAGCAGTTTCTACTCGTGATTCAATACGTATTCTGTACGATCGGCTTCAGTTATTTATGTTAAAAGACCAGCAAAAAAGCTAAGTACATGAAGTGTTAGAGAAACTTGTAATTTAAATGGGATCATTAAGGCTGAGCCCATAATGTATGAGGATTACAGTAACGAACAGGGCCACGTAACAGTCTTCGCTGTTGCACGAATGGCAGGTCCGACCGAGGAAGTACCACGATCTCACAGAAGATCGGTGTGTACTGGAAGTGTTATACTTTTGCGATTTATCTGGTGGGTGAGGTGAGGCTTAAAAGTGTGGTGGATTAAAAGGTAACGCATCAGCAATCCTGCGGGTGTTGCAATTCAGTAAGTTCATGGGCGGCGGTTATCACTTAACAGAAGGTGACCCCCACCAGCTCGCTTGCTTCCTTCTCACATAAAAATGGAATGTTTTTCTTTAATCAAATGAACCCAATTTAATGAAGTTTTTGGCCCGACCTTATAATTCCCACATGTTATTAAGCATTGTTAACGGATATTGTTAGTTTTGCTTATTAGGTTTAAGTATAGCTAACAATTGTCTACTATACTAATAACGTAATCAAGTACAATAGAACTGATAGCGTAGTATAAAATAAATTGATTGTGTTTAGTTGAGAGAATGACAAATATAAAACTCACCAGAAGTAAAACGAAAGAACAACAGGACTTCTGAAATAACATCTTTGATAATTGGAGCAACTGTTAACTTGGAGAATGTTTGACTTCCTTAGTGAAAGATCATCGGTTTATATATGTTTGTAAAATACCATGTAATTTATTCAAACTATATGTGAGAATAGGTTTTAGTTATTCTAAGAAGAAAAATAGGGATGCATGTCTTCTCGTTCTGTTTTATTTAATTTACCATCTTTTAATTTTTCCTTTAAAAATGATTGTGTAATATTTTAATATTAATATATATTTATGTGGAGATAAACCTGCTTGAATCAGAAGATTTGTAACAAATTTAAAAATGCCCAGCAGTGGGATATAGCCCGTTAACATTCCTTACCTTACCCTTGTGTTTGCTATAAAGTTATTTACCTAAACATAGATATTTGTTTTATTAATATCAATGTGGCTTGAAGTGTCTGAATATTTTGTATTTTAGATTCAGCCCTATATTTACACCTACATTTCATTAATGTAGATCATGCGCATTAACAATAGCATCTTCGTTGAAAACATAACAAATATAAACATTACATTGTTATTATGCACGGGATAAGATCTACATAATATGTATTGAACTTAAATCGTGACCTTGTTGCGCATTTGTTAAACACTGTGACAAAAGATAAGATGTTTTTGTTAAACTAATAATTATTGTGTATACATAGTGGTTATACTTACTTTAAGTTTTTGTAGTTATATTTTTTTTGGTGTGTTTGGAAGAAAAATATGGGAGTAAAATTTTAACGATTCGCGTTCACACCGACAGCCAAAAAGCGACATGATAAAGTTGGTTTCAAACGGATCAACTTCGAATAATATTACCATGGCAACCATTAACAATTTTTTTGACATTTTCCTATAATTCCAAGTTATTTAATTAAACCGTTATCAATTGCATTTAACGTCTTCTTCACAAACAAGAGTACTGTCACAGAGGATAAAATTTTTAGATAATTTTCTTATGTTACGTAATTACACACACGTTTTATTTATAAGCATTAATTGTTACTATAATGTATTTATTATTATTATTTTTAGATATTAACTTTGATAAGAGTTGGATAAGCCGTGATGGCTAAGTCCCGTGATAGTTAAGAGCCTTTATAACACAGTGTCAGGGTGCTTGATTTAAATTTGATATACCTTTTTTATGTGACATAGTGGCAAACGAGCTGACGGTTCACCTGATGTTAAGTGATAACCGACACCCATGGAAAATTGCAACATCCGTAGGGGTGCAGAAGCGTTGCCACCTTTAAATAAAGTGGGCTCAGCTACCTTTCTCACCAGACGAAACCGCAGAAGTGTAACTCGTCTACTTTAGGCCGGTCTTCTGTGAGGTCGTGGTACTTACCCGGACGGACCTGCCCATTCGTGCAACAGTGAAGACCATTGCGTGGTCTAACTCTACCACAGTTACCTACTCAAATAATCTGAGTTCAATTCCTGTGCCGGCACCAATGACATTATTAATTGCAATTTTAAATGCTGATTTATCACGTATCAAGTGCTCCGAAATCTATTTTTTTTCAAATAATAAAAAATATTTCGAGAATATGTGATCTCTGGCCAACCCGCAGTGGAGTTGCGTGATGGACCATGCCAGTTTAAGACTATGCTCTACAGAAGATGCCTTTGCCTATGCAGGGGGACATACATAAATAGGCTGTTACTGTACTTTTATTTTTGTTATAAAATTATACAACATAAAAGATAAAATTTGATGAACAATGAACTTACAACCCATAAGTTCATTACGATTTATTGAAAAATGTTTGATAATATTCAACGTTAGCGCTTTTCTGATTTTATTATGATTTTAGAGACAAAAACTACGACCTATTTTCATGTGGTAGCCGTAACTGTATTGTATATAATTTCCAAACACAAAAACACATATATGGGATTTAAGGGACATGTATTATAATAAAAACGGTGTACTATTACATTTTTATTAGTATTCAACAAAAATGTTTATATTTCTAGATATATAGATGTAGATGGAAAAGGTGTTAAAGGATAATGAAAAGTGAAAATCCACAAATTCTGCCTTCTGTTGGTTACAAAGTTTTCACGCATGCACAAACGTTGATAATTAGAATAATTAATATTCATTAACGTAAGAATAAATAAATAAATGTTACATTTAATTTATGTTGGTAAGAACACAATCAGGACTGGGAATTTGGGAACATAGGCCATTATAGCAATTGGGTTGCCATGGCCCACAGGGTATCAAAAGACCTCCTATTGGCTTACAAACAAGCCGTGTGTTGCAATCATAGCAGGACAGTTTTGGGCCTAGGGGGTCACAAGAAGTCCAGTTCCGTGTTTTGGCATCTGTTTCCGTCAATTCATTGTACGAGATTTCACTAGCATCCTGTGGTACTTGTTGACTTAGACGTGGACGCCATTGAGGAGAGTGAGGACCCCCTTGTGGCACTTGAGCCCAGCTAATGGCTGTGACTGCAACCTGTAACCATAGTTTTGTTTTCTAGCATAGCCGTATAAGAATAAACAAAAAAGGAAGGAATGATGCATAGCATGAGCCATAAAAAATTGTTAAAACATACCACTATATCGTTTTGTGCTATAAATAGTTACAATATTTAATAATCGCATACATAGTATAATAGGTTCCTACAGGATGGTGAGGCACCATGCAATAAGGTTGACAAGTAAGTACAAACTTCGTACGCAACTATTCGATACTTGTTTTCATACCATACATTTCATACTTATTTAGGATCAAAAAAAGTATCTGTATCGGAGTTTTCTTCACCTCGATCAAAAATAAAGTCATAGGCCATGGATAGAACTGTAGTTTTCTGTTTAGTAGACACGACCCAGAAAAAAATATTTCTTAGTTGATCGAACCTCAATAATTAATATTTAATTATAATTTCAATTATTGAAGATTTTGGTTATGTCATTTACAGATTTAAAAAAGAAAAGTATAAATAAGAAGTAGATATGACTAGATATCGATACTACTTTAGTAAATAAAAGCTAAATTATTTATGTCGAATTTTAATTTTGTGAATAAGTGATGGCTACTTAAGGTAGTGTTTGAAATTGTTTCAGTTAAAAATACCATATATGGTTACCGAATACGAATTTTTTATTTTTTTTTAAATACAATTAGAAATAGGATGCTAAATAACACTAATGCTTGCCAAATGTACATTCGTTATGAATATTATTGAGTAGAACGTTAACTTATTTTGCTTACTGCAATTGCGTCCAAGAACTATTATGAACAAAGAAAAATTTGAAGTGTCTTTTTTAACGTTCAGTTGATGCCACATATTTTAATGCATTGCAGATTCTAGAGTAGGACTCAGAATTTGATGTTAATTCCAGCGGATGCTCTCAGCCGTCTGAATAGATGATGGGTGAATTATGTGACAATACTCACCAATACGAGTACGAAGAGAGTCAACGACTTGATATAAATCATTGTTTCGGTTCAAGATGTAGTCCGATACTATCGCGTAGAATGCTTTCTATTACTATTATATATTGCATCGTTATCTGAGCTTAATATCCCCCGTACAGAAAATACAAACAAGGAAATCGCTAACATTCACGCAGAGGGTTTTCCTGCGGCGTAAAGTCAACAGTGGAATGTTTATTGTTTTCAGTTAGAAACTTTCTATTCGTTCTCCCGTACTTCTGTTTGTTCAATAAAAGATTCATTTACTTTAAGATAATTATTGTTTTTCTTGTTAACCTGTGCCATGTTACATACTATAACAAGTGTAAAAAAGTTTGTTATGTACTTCAGGTATAATTAAAGTAAGTGTAAGCGATAAGGGTGTAACTGGCATTTGAATAAACAAGAAATGTATTAGATATGCAATATACTTAATTTTGGTTTGGCCACACAGCAGCCTCGGTTTGTTGCACGAATGGGCAGGCTCGTCCGGGTAAGTACCACGACCTCACAGAATACCGACGTGAAGTTGAAGTATATATAATACTTTCGCGTTTTTTCTGGTGAGTGAGTTAGCCGGAGTCCAATTTGCAAAAGGGTTGTCAACGCATCTGCAAACCCTCGGGTGTAGCTGATGTCCATGGGCGTCGGTATTCACTTAACATCAGGTGAACCGCTTGCTCGCTATACAACTTTTCAAATAAAAAAATATAGCAATAAATAGTGGTAATAGAATGAAATACACAATAGAGTAGCTTTTTATGAATATTAATATTGCTGGGAAATTTTGCTACAGTGACATATCTTTTAATTATAATTCTTATTTCGTAAAAACACATGTAAAATTTAATTAATGTTTTCAACATTGTTTCCTTTGTGAGGCTTATCATGCAACGCCGGTGGTTTTGTACAGGTGTAAACTCCAACGGAAGTTTTGTTTGAAATTAACTTTTGAACACACGTATTCACAAAGGCAAAATTTCAAATTGTATTTACATCAGAAACTGTTTGTCTTTGTTATGAAAATAGATATTATGTAACTAGCTTTGGTCTAAATGTATGTATGATTTGAAGTGCACGTATTAACTTTTGCGTTTCGTCTAGAGAGTGAGGTAACCGGGACCACACTTTTTTAAAAGGTTGGCAAAGCGTCTATGATCCCCTAAGTGTTGTATATGTCTATGGTCGCAGTTGTCACTGAGGTGAACCGCTTGGTCGCTCTTATCTGTATACTGGCAATCATTTTTAACACGCTTCTCTCCACCTGCTCCTTTCAAGATGCCTGGAAAGAGGCCAGCGTCATCAAGTAAGCCGAACAAACGTGCTAAAAAGCCATCTAGCTATCGAACTATCAAATCATCAAATGAAATCAAATAATTTATTCATCGAAGTAAGAAATATAACATTTCATCTATCGATATTTATTGTTTATATCTATCACCGTTTTATAATGATTCCTCTAACGGAGAAAAAACAAGCGAAGGAAACTCCGAACTCTTTTTTGTCTTTTTTGTATTATATAATATATAATTATTATTGTAATGTTATACAGTATATGTATTATTTATTTTTAATAACAGTTTGGGAGCGATCATCTCATTCCCAGGGGTTATTATCATTAATATATTAGTTTATATTATAATAACCCTTTTAAAAAGTTTTTCTTTAATAAATTTCTTAAACCTGTTAATTGATAGGCTTTGCCCATTAACTGGGTTTGTTTTATAATATTTGTAACTGGCATTACAAGTTCGTGTTTGTTCCTAGTATTTACATTATGTACAACAGTATTCTTATTAAAATTATTAATGTCTCTACATTACATTTTCATACATATATTGAGAGGCCAAGGTTAAAATATTTATTTCTTTAAATTACTCTCTCAGCGATGCCTTCCAATTTAGATTATAAATCGCTCTCTTTTTTGCAAAATGGCTGCATACCCCCATAGCAAAATACCGTATGACATAATGCTATGGAAATAACTGAAATAAATAGTTCTAGCCGTTTTTACATCAGTTAGACATGTAATTTTCCTTTTAGCATATGCTGCAGAACTTAGTCGAAGTTGAAGCTTTCCATGAGTTTTTTTTTAAGTGAAAAGTTGTCAAGAGAGCAGACGGTTCACCTGATGTTAAATGAATACCGCCGCTCATGAACATCTCTTACATCCGAGAGTTGCAAATGCGTTGACAACCTTTTAAAAATTGGGCTCCGGCCACCTCACTCACCAGACGAAACGCGAAAGTATTACACTTCCATTTTACGCCGGTCTTCTGTGAGGTCGTGGTACCTACCCAGACGAGCCTGCCCATTCGTGCAACAGCCGAGGCTGCGTATAAAAAAAGTAAAAAGAGTAATACCAAGAAAGTCAAAATATCAGCCTCCTTTCGCTTGGGGAAGCTCTACGAACGGCTCATTTTAAATAGACTCAGGGACTATGTTTTCTCAAACGGCCTTATGCGAGTTGAACAATTCAGCTTTCGAGCTAGATATTCCTGTCCCGACCAGTTATACCGCCGGACGGAACACATCTTGGAAGGCCTTAATCACCCCAAGCACATAAGCACGGGGGCTTTCTTCATCGATATCGCAAAGGTCAGTGTCAGGCACAACGGCTTGCTTTACATGCTGTTCGCACTCAACGAGCCAGGCAGGCTCGTGCACACCATCCGAGTCTTCCTGTCGAATAGTTCCTTACGATACCGATTAGAGGGCACCCTCTCAACGAACTGCCCTGTCACAGCGGGCGTTCCTCAAGGCTCTCCCTTTGCTTTTTACGCTCTACACGAGCGACATACCAAAAGACGGGTCTTTTCGCCAATCTCGCGTTTTTCGTGGATGACACGGCGTTCTTTTATTCGAGTAGAAATCTCGTTTACCTCACTACTCGTCTCAAAAGCGCCGTCGACCTCCTTGGTGATTGGTACCGAAAATGGAGAACAGATATAAATCCCGAAAAAAGTGTGACGATCCATTTCACACGAAGTATTCCGAACCCTCATCCGTCACACCCTTATAAAGTTCCTTGCCAGTTCAGAAAGGGAAAATTACACTCTATGGCCAGGTCGACAACCTAGGAGTTACTTTCGACTCATACCTGGTTCTCACATCACATATTAGAGATATTAGGAACAGAGCCGTAGGCGACACTGCTCCCTTTAGTCAACGCACGCATGAGCCCATGCGCGGTCCTACCCACTGTAGAGGGCCTCAAACCCGTGGGTTCTGGCTAGCCCACGGGTTCTGCATTCGATAAAGCTTTAATAGTCTACGGACTGAAAGCGTTAACTTCAGTTAAAACATAAAGATTTTCAAGAATTAACGCTTGCTCGCTTGCCAACATTTCTCATAAACAATATAGTAAATAATTATAATTAAACACGTAAATTATACTTTAAAAGTTAGTGCTATTGATTAAAGCTAACATTAGGTTACTATTTCTATAACACTAATTAAATTTTTCTTTTTGAAGGATATGGTAAACAAAGAAATGGCTTATTTACTTTATGTGCTAAATTTTAAATTTCTGGCGGAGTTAATAGAATAAAGTGCTAATCATTGTGTTGCTAACTTTTAGAAAAGATAGAAATTGTGTGAATAGTACTTTTTTTCTCATTTCTTCCAAATATCAACATATACTGTTACATGTTTATTGGGTTATATAGTAAAATATAGCCTTATCACATTGGACTCTAGGGAGAGCCTCAGAATACTTTAGAACAAGCGGGTGTTTTTCCACTATAAAGAGGATACAGCATAATTTAACAATCATACCGTATGGTCTATATATTGAAAACAATACAAATGATGTGAAATAAGTTTCAAAATTTTCTCGTTAAGATTGTATTTATTGATTCTGAGTGAGACTTAAACAACAATTCTATTCGAACATTCTGACAAGTTAATCATTATTATCGATATTGGTTATGTTGCAATAATTTTACTGAGGTGCAATTCTTCTTAAAAATATTTTTTATCTGTTTCATCTTAGTGAAGTAACTAAATTGTAACTAATCGAATTTGTAAATTGTAACTAATCGAATTTGTAAATTGTAACTAAGAAATCACCAAAATCTTTATGTAATAAATATATTTGAGAGTAATCTCTTTAGTAACAAATAATTATTTGTTAAAAATTAAAATTGTCTAAATGTAATTAAAAATGCTTTTTAATGAAGTGTCGGGATTTTTAGGCTAACATTATTTATCGCGAAACCTTTTCAGTTACATCAGTGCCTAATTAAAAGACCTTTCTTTGAAACCTCGCTGTTATTATAAAATACATTTTCTCTCGTGGCTTTTAACAAGAACACTATAAAAACATTATATAAATCTATAGCCTTTTTTACTTGTATTGTAATGCAGAGAAGACCTATACATAATAAACAGTATTCTATGTTATGGTAAAGTAATCAAACATAAGTAAATCAAACAATTTTTATTCACCAATTTCATAATTTAAATTTCTATTCTATTCAGAAATTTTATTGTGTTTACAATAATAATAGAGTCGATAAATTTCATATTAAGAATTAAATGAGATGGATAAATTGTTCAATAAAAACGATATTCACCACCTCGATCTTCAAACATTTAGGCTGCGGTTTCAGCTGGTACATCTGGGGCGCATTCCGCTGAAGGCGTAGCGGAGCATTCACCTAAGTTGCAGAACGGAAGAGTGGGGTCGCTGCAAGACCGCTGGAGGCCACCGATTTTGGTACACACCAATTTGGTGTTGCAGTCCAAGCATGTGGTCCCGATCGCTGTGCACGGCGTCCATTGGGGGTACCAGGGAGCGGCTGACACCCAGGGAGGTATCCATGGGTTGACCCCTCCAGCACCCCATCCAAAACCTCCAACTGCTGGCTGAGCCGGCAGCGCAGAGGCTACTGTGACCTATAATTTAACACACTCTATGGTTTGTCTACAAGTATGGGAGTTATTAAAATTTAAAGACGATATGAAAGACGTGAAAATGTCATTGAATTATAAGGATTGTATTAACTTACCATGAAGGCTAACCCCACTGTGATTAGAGTGTTCATTTTGAAATTATTTAATAATATAGTTTATTACAATAACAAGATCGAATTGTCAAGTATGATTGAATGTCTCAGTGTAAATTGCCAAGTTTTATATATACTAGGTTTTGTTAGTTTAAGGTTTAAAGTTTATAACCTAAATAGATACCACCGATATGGATTTCCCAATGGAAGTTGTATTCAAAACAGATAAGGATGACAGTGTTCCTTAATAAAATAACAATTGTGAAAATAATATTTGCATTAAACGTTAACATTCGACGCATATATTACAGATCTCTTAGCAACAGAAATTTCCAATATTGAATATAAATGAAAAAATTAAAGAAATAATTTCGTCATAACATTGTGTAAATCGATGTATTAAAGTTCCATTTATAAAGAATGAATGATAAAAATTTATCTTGTGTATGTAAGCTTTCTGTTTTGAGCTAACTAATAAATTGATGGAAAATTTTAATTAAATATCAATTATAAGCATACACCCGACAAGGCTTTATCTTAGTGTTTGCGACTATATTTGGTTTCAGATGTGTGAATAATTGTTGATTTACTAATAGTTTTAACACAAAGATCAGAATCACTGAGGCAAATTTAAACATTCCTTTTCCTTTCTTTAGTATTATATGCATCTTATTTTAATTTTTGTCTTAACTTATAAGCAAGAACCTGTAAACTTCGTTATCCAATATACCTGTTTTCTAAAAAGATCGATTTTGCGTCGTAATATTTGAATTATGATCTTAAGATGGGATTGAAAATTTCAAGGGCATTCACGTGTGGGCTTTCAGTAACTTAAATTTCTTACATAAAAATTCCGTTCTCTCTCTTTTGAAAATTATTAGTTTGACTCATAAATGATAATGTTATGCTATGGTAATGATATATATTATACCAGCCCATCACATGTTAAGTTTTGGTTTAGTTATTTATTTAAGAATTTCTTAGAAAAGGCTGAAGGCATAAATCAGAATTGGAAATTTTGTATAACAACTTTTATGGTAGTGCGAATAGAAAGACCACTTAGGAAAGTACAACCGCTAAAGTAGGTATTGTATACGCAAAAGTAAAATGCCTGGATATTACGATTTAAAAATACTTTAATTTTAATTCCGTTCATGGTCACGGGACAGTCTGTCAGAAATCCATAAAATTAGTTTCATTTATTAATTTAAGCCTTTATTAAACGTCACAAAAAAAAACTACGTCTGGTTCACTAAACTAGACTTGACGAGAAAAGAAACGGCTAGAAACACTGCGGTCTTGTTATCCCTTTTTTATGGTACAATTATACAAAATTACAAATAAGTATAAAATCAACGGTAGCCAGGGGACTTAAAAGTGCAGAGCAAGAGTCATTTCCACACATCCTTGCATTCTTCGACATTATAATAGTTCCTTGCCATTAGGGTAGCTTTTAAGAAATATTTGTAAATTGTTTATATTTAGTTGTTTGTGGATGTCACATATTTTATTATAACAGTTAATGCCCCTATGAACAAACGACTGTCTCGTTTTAGCCAGTCTAAACCTCGGAACTTGAGTGTCACCACGGCCCCGACGCGATATGGTACGGGGAATGAAATGTCTTCTGTTTTGAAATAGCAATAAATCAGGAGAGCGTAATTGTTTTCAAAAAAAAAAATACGAAAGCAACTTGTTTTTGTAAAAGACTGCCACGAATATATTTCTTTAAAAAATGTATTAGCAATAGTTGTAAAATTGCCTATTATTTTTATAAAAACGATACATAAACTTTAAACATTTAAACTTTTGATAGATTAAATGTTAAAAAAGAAAGGTGGTGGCACATTTTACAACTCAATGGTTATTTTATTGTAAACGATTTTTTCTTTTTTTATATCTGAGGATTAAATAAGTATTTCCTTTGTTCTATTTTTCATGTTTTATTACCATTGCTAGTTTTGTAAGTTACTGATGTTCTCCTTAAATGAAATATGTTATTCAATTTTGCATCAGTAAGTTATAAGCCTACTTAAGTAAATAAACGAACTAAATAATGATTTCTTGTGTTTAAGCGATTACCACGCATTATTACAAATTTATGGGGTTTTTCGCATTTAATTTTGGCTATAATTGTAATTGAGCTGTGGCAGCTCAGTGTCACGGCGCTCGCCTTTATTTCAAAATACTCAAACAACCTGAGTTCGAACCCCGGTGCAAATTAACAATTTCATTGATGCCGATCAATGAAATTGTTAATTTTAAGTACTGAATTATCACGTGCTCAGCGGTGAAGTAAAACATCGTGAGGAAACCTGCATATTTTCGTAATAATAACAGAAAATATAATAATAAATACTTCGAAGATACGTGAAGTCGGGCAATTCGCAGTGGGGCCGCGTGGTAGACTATCTGTACAAAGGAGGCTTATACCCTGCAGTGGGACATGTATAGGCATCAGGCTTTAACTATTATTAAGTGTTAATTTAATTGCCGACCATTCGAAAGCTAAAGACTCCATGTTCACAGGACAGACAGTTCAGTCATTTCAGTTTTACGTAATGTAGTTGCTGAGCGGGTAATCGTCAACTTTGTAATAATTTATATTATGCTATATACATAGTTACGCAGGGCTGGACCTTACAGTATCTTGAAGTCTTATTGTATTGGTGTGTTTGGATTTAATTTGATGAATGATTTGATCCCATAACTGGTAGTAAAGCCCCACCGTCTTCTTTATTGAAATTTATAATTATTTTATTAGATTTAATTAACCCTAATTAAACTCGATTTACTATTATTTTAAACTTTCTGTGAGTTCCGTTATGTCGACCCGCTCAATTAGTATCGAATTAGGTCACTGTAATCCACAATATAAAATTAATTATAATTTGTAAATTATATTTAATTTTAATAATTATAATCTTGAATTTATAAAGTATATTTTTTATGGAAAAGTCGGGCCATCTAATGTCAAGTGTTTTTTTGGACACATTTTTACACAACGTTCTCTACATGCTTTTTTAAAATAAATGCATATTATAAATATATAAACACCCAGACGCTGGAAAAACACTATGTTCATCACACAATATTTTTCCAGTAGTCGGGATCGAACCCACACCCTCTGGCGCAAGATGCAGGTTCACTATCCCGCTACGCCAATTACACTCAACACCAGAGGAGTCACAAATGCGTTGCCAGCCTTTACGGTAGGAGTAGGCTCTCTTCTTGAAGGTTCCTAAGTCAGTAAGAATACCGTAAGTAGTAAGTAATACGGCGACAACTGATTTCACGCGAGAAAAACGTACAGTGGTGGATTGCCAAGCATTGAGATTGTAGACTATGCCATCAGCATTTGGGAAGTGGAAGCGTCGTACAGTGATGAAGTTCGGCAGTAGGTATTAATCCGAACAACTCCTTAGAGCACATCTCGTGATAGATGAGTTAAAAATGCAAAGAGATGAAATATGTATTCTCAAGGTCAAAGGGTGGAGACAATTCGAGCAGTTCTGTATTGGATACGATCAAACGGAAAGAGATGGCTAGTATTAGGGTTCTCGATCCCAGAGAATGTATTTGTACGTATTTCATTGATCCTAAGGCAACAACATCACGGATTTCAATTGGCCATCAACGCCAGACATCCAATGCAGTCAAGGAGTTTAGAGAGAGAGCTTAAAATAGAGGCTGCACTTTAGAACTATCGGAAACGAGTTAGCTCGGAATTAACAAACATTATGAACCTAAAATAGATGTTTATATTATAATGATATTGGTTGTTGTAATACTTGGTTGTTGTGTACTCTAGTATATGAAAATAAGTGACAACTTTTTACTTTGTTATCAGCAATGTAATAAAAAATGAATGATATAGTTAAAAATATGAACATTACATTAAATTGTGTTAGATTGTGAAGTACAAAAAATCTAAATAAAGAAACAGACATTACATCGGTAATTCATTGTTTAACATATTGTAAATTGTTTACTATTGTAATCATCTGTACACTTGTCTGATATTATGATGTGTTTGCTATGTTGCGCATGTTTTCCTTGATTTGAAAGTATATATTCCTTTGAATTGTAAACACTTTGATAGAGTTATAAAACAATATGTAAAATGTAATCCATGACAACACTAAAGAATAATTATTCCTTTTAAACATTTTTGTTCACAACAATTTTATCCGGACTATAATAAATAAATTAAATCTATGTCACTGGGGCTCCAGTGTTACAGTTTCTCTGTTTTAAGAGTATTGAAAAGAGTATCGAAAATTGTAATATTCCAGCCCTCACAGTTTTGACCTTAACTGAATAGATATATACTGTTACTATATTTTTGATTTCTCCTTCCTGAGAAAAGGAAGGAGAAATCAAAAACAGGTTTAATCATTTCAATATGTTTCAGGCCGGTTATAACGTTACTTTGTTGTTTGAAAAAGTTTTTTTTTATTTTATGACCCAAAAAATGTTTGTGTGTATTTAAAAAAGTGTGTAGTCGCGACGTCTGGGAAGTTAATATGGGCTCCAAATAACTTGTAGGCAATTTTTATGGAATCATCTTATTTTCTTGACATTTATAAAACATTGTTACTGCTGTTTCTCGGTCTTAAAGAAAGTTGCTTCCTATCTTAAAGCTTCATAGCTTAAAGTTTAAATGAGTCTTTCGATAGATAAAAATTCGAAATTATGTGGACTGAAGATACCCTAATCCAGGGCATTATATATTTATATGTTTAGCAGCATAGCATATATGTTTTTGTTGTATATGAAAAAAAAATTGTTGTATATGTATATGAAAAGTGAATAGGCGGCTCACCCGATGAAGTGATTACCGCTATTCAAGGACATAATTATACAACACCTAATAGTTGCAGATGTCAATGAAACAGCGGGCCCTGCATACCTCACGCACCAGATGAAACGCTAAAGTATAAGACTTCCACTTCGAAATTTTTCAACACGCTCTACACTTCATCTTATACCTGGAGAATGTAGGTTCGAATCGTGGGGCACCAAAATTTATAAAGTAGCTGCTGCCCGCGACTACGTCTGCGTAGAATAGGCTGAAGGCGTAACATTCAGACAGAAAAACAGATATACATAAAATATGTGTATAAATTATAGCCTATGTCTTATTCTTATGTATAAGCTATATTATTGTAAAGTTTCATTAAAATCCATTCAGTAGTATTTGCATGAAAGAGTAACAAACATCCATCCATACATACAAGCTTTCGCGTTTATAATATTAGTAAGGAAGGAGTTTTGTACAAACAATTCTTATTTTAAATTTCATTTTTCAGTGCAGAGCACTAAAAATAAAATTAATCTGAGAATTGTTATGTTATACAAGTGAATTTCATCAACCATTACTATTCATGATACTCCGTGGCGCAGTTGCCAAGTCATTGGGCTTTGGCGCGTGGCGCGTGGGTTCAATTCCCACAGGGGACAACTATTTGTGTGACCCACATATAATTATGTCGGAACTCAGTGTTGTCCCACTTGAAATTTATGTGTGTTAAAAATAATACAGTATTTACTTAGTTTCTTGAGTAAAAAGAAATCGGTAATACTGTACAAAATGTACGTATAATGCTATATTTAGAACTAATTTTTTAGAAATTCCGAAAATTTTCTTAGAACGCCAAAGCATTCTTTCTACATAATTCCGCTATAGAACTTCAAGGTCTTGATTTATTAAACCAGAGCGACCGTTTATGTGCGGTCAGACATTTCATTCACACTATATAATATATTTATTTCATTCTTGTGCTTTTACTACACTTGTTATAAGTGTATTAAATGCCGTGTAACAGCAAAATTATGTTAATTTTGAAACATTGAAGTCTATTCACTTATACAACAGAAAGTTTTTTTTATGAAAGAAGATAGAAAGGGAGCTGGCGGTTCTCCGCATGTTAAGTGATGCCATTTGCAACAACCGTAGATTAGTTCCCTTGCTAGATTACAAATACAATAGTTGTATTCGTAAGGGGATTTCGAAAAAGGTATCTCGCAACAAACATTTTATTTGAGCAAATATAGTGCGAAGTAAGTTGTGAGCAAATAAGGTCGACTAATGTAATGTTGCCCCATAAAAATATGTTTTACTTACTGAGACTCTTTTGAAAGAGCGTACAAAATCAAGGTTCATTTATACGTGTTTATTCATGCCCCAGTATTTTTCTGATACTGGTCCTTGTAACAGTGAATATTTATCAATATAATATATTTTTTCCTTCAAAGTACTCTATCATGGTGTATCGCATTATTTTAACTTTTATCAAGAAAGAGCACATACCTATTTCTATATACATGAAACAGAATTCTAGTCAGCGAAAAGTAAATGGGTAGTGTGCTTTTTTAGTTTAAATTCCAAAACTTGCAAGATATTATCTACGCGATTCTACTGCTGGCAGACATCACATGATTCGCAATTTTTTTTATTATTTCTTCGATGCGTCGGTTAAAATAAGAATTAAGATTTGAAAGAATGAATTTCAGTATCAAGTTCAGTTCAAGGTGCTAACACTATATTTAAATAGAGCTTACTTGAGTCTTGTCACATAAAGTGAGCGGTGAGCTATATTGAGTGACACATACACAGCACAGGTCGTTTTTGTGCATCACAAAATTGACTGTAATTTTACGATGTAATAAAGAAACTTAATTTGATTCAAAGAGTTCTGATGTGTTTTCTTATAGCTTGATAACAAATTCACGCGTAACATCATAATATATGACTTTTACAACTGTTATCATATAATGGTTATCAAATACCGCCTTTCATAAAATGGGAAGCCTGTGACGTTGGTAGATGTAGTAAGATTTGTATACTAACCTTAGGCACTAGGTTAGGCAGGGTGTATCAACTTGTTAGTCCACACGTACAATATACAGGAGAAGAACACCAAATACGGGTAGTATTTGATATTATTCTCCTAACACAGATATTCGCATGGCAGTGATAGGACTGTACATTTTTTACTTAAATTGTTATCTTGATCTTGTGTATTTTTACATTGTAAAAAAAATACTTATCACGTACTTTAATTCAAGTATTAATTTTATCGTATATTGGAAACACGTAAACAATAGAGAAAATATTGGTCGATTTAATTACCGTACGCAGCAATATTGACGTCATGACATTTGATTGATTACACGTTATAAATAGGCTCCTGTTTTCCTATTAATTAAGTTTCTGATGAAATGTACATAAATAGCGGGAAATGAGTGAGCAATAGTAACAAACAGTCAATCAACTTCATTATTTTCAATGGTATACGTAAACGTAGTTTTCTCTACGAAGTCACCATACCCATTGGTCTGTAAGTAGAATGATTATTTCAAATAATGTGTTTATTCAGGAAAGCAAACAGAACTGATAGCGTCGGTAATTAAACTTAATAATACTTTTTTGACGTGGTGTAATTTAATTCTTTTTAGGGTTCCGTACCCAAGGGGTAAAACGGGACCCTATTGCATAGACTCCGGTATCGTACGTGGTAGAGCCATGCATCGGCATTTGCTGATGCTGAATTGGGCCGGCTCAAACCGGGGAAGTACCACGGCCTCACAGAAGATCGGCGTAAAGTAAAGGTATTTTTACCTTTGCGTTTCGTCCGGTGAGTGAGGTTGCCGGAGGCCCACCCCCTCTCCCCCCAACATCATGGTAGCGGTATTAAAAACTAACATACCCCAGGGGGGTACCAGCACTTCTAGTTCTGGAGAATCCCCTACTGGGCGTCCGCGCTCAGATGACCTTTCGCCATCTGGGCGTGGGCGCTCGGGCTGCCCCACGTATTCTGGGGGGGGCATAATTCCGCTCTCCATTCCCTCTGCTCGAGGCAAACGTAGCAGGCACACTACGGCAACCCCTACCACGCTTTCTGTGGATTTTTGCAACATAAGGGGACTTCACTCCAACCTCAATGCCGTCCACTACCACCTTGAGACGGCAAAGCCGTCCTTGCTATTTCTAACTGAGACTCAGATATCTTCTCCGGCAGACACATCATATCTCTCTTATCCGGGGTATAAGTTGGAAAACTCCTTTGTGCCCCGAGCCGGAGTTTGTGTGTATGTTAGGGAGGATATCTGCTCTCGTCGTCTCAGCAGCCTTGAAGGTACGGACCTGTCCATCATATGGCTACGTGTAGACAACGACGACCACCCTCGCGTCTATGCGTGCCTTTATAGGTCCCATAGCGGCAATACGGAAACAGACCGACTCATAAACCACGTCCAAATGGGTACAGATTATGTGCTCCAACAGATCCCAACCGCAGAGACCGTGATCCTTGGTGATTTTAACGCCCATCACGTCGACTGGCTCGGGTCACATACCACCGATCATGCGGGGAGGTCTGTACACGACTTTGCCATTGCAAATGGTTTAACACAATTGGTCACTATGCCTACGCGGATCCCAGATGTGTTAAATCATTCACCTTCCCTGTTGGACCTTCTGCTGACCACTCATCCGGATCACTACCAAGTTTCTGTAGATGCCCCTCTTGGCTCGTCAGACCACTGTCTGGTCCGGAGCGTAGTGCCCATCGCGCGCAGAACGCTTACGCGCTCCCCGAGTTTTCGTCGTGTGTGGCATTACAGGTCAGCAGATTGGGATGGGATGCGGTCCTTCTTTGCATCTTATCCCTGGGGCAAGGTTTGCTTCTTGCTGGATGATCCCAGCGCCATCGCTGATTCTGTCGCCGATGTGGTGCTTCAGGGAATGGAACTTTTTATCCCCTTCTCTACGGTTCCCATTGGCGGCAAATCCAATCCCTGGTTCCGTCGCTCCTGCAAATTGGCATCTCGCCATAAGCAGGAGAGTTATCGGGCCTGGACCGTTGCGGTGGCGTCTAGGGATGTAAATACCAGTCACTTTAAAAAGGAGTACAACTTTGCCTCTAGGTCCCTCAAAAGAGCAATCGCATCAGCAAGGTCAGAGCACATCGGCAAAATTGGCGAGAAATTAGTTAACCTTCCTTCGGGGACTCGTGCATTCTGGTCTCTCGCCAAGGCTGTTCAAGGAAACTTCTGTACGCCATCTTTTCCATCTTTGCACAGGCGAGATGATTCGTTGGCCCACACCGCTGAAGAGAAAGCCGAACTTTTGGGCACCCTCTTCGCGTCTAACTCGACACTGGATGATAAGGGGAACACACCGCCGACCATCCCGCGGTGTGAGCACACAATGCCAGAAATAAGGTTTCTGCAGAGCACAGTACGTAAAGCACTCTTCTCCTTAGACATCCATAAGTCGAGCGGGCCAGACGGAATCCCTCCCATTGTGTTAAGGACGTGTGCTCCAGAGTTGGCACCGGTTTTAACGCGCCTTTTCCGGCACTCCTACTCTCTAGGCATTGTCCCAACTTCTTGGAAGACGGCTTTAGTGCACCCGATTCCAAAAAAAGGTGATCGTTCAGATCCGTCGAACTATAGGCCTATTGCCCTCACCTCTTTGTTCTCTAAAATCATGGAGTCCATCATAAACTGCCAGCTCCTTAGGTACCTTGAGGAGCACCAGCTCATTAGCGATCGTCAATATGGCTTTCGACGCGGGCGCTCAGCTGGTGACCTTTTAGTGTACCTAACGCATCGATGGGCGGAGGCAGTTGAGACAAAGGGTGAGGCCTTGGCGGTTAGTTTGGATGTAGCGAAAGCCTTCGATCGGGTTTGGCACAAAGCACTTCTTTCTAAGATTACATCTTACGGGCTTCCTGAGAAATTGTGCAACTGGATCACTAGTTTTCTCACTAGTCGGAGCATCAAGGTCGTTATTGACGGTGCTTGCTCCGACGCTAAATTCGTGAACTCTGGTGTCCCACAAGGCTGCGTCCTGTCCCCTACGTTGTTCCTCCTACATATCAATGATCTGTTGCATATTTGCAACATTCATTGCTATGCGGATGACACTACGGGTGACGCACTATATACCGGCCGGGCAAATATTTCTCAGGAGTACGTCGAAGAGTGCCGGAATAAACTTGTGTCTGAAGTCGAGGTTATGTTATGCAAAATCTCGGATTGGGGCAGACTTAATTTAGTCCAATTTAACCCCATGAAGACACAGGTTTGCGCGTTTACCGCGAAGAGAAAACCCTACGTCATATCTCCCTTTTTTGAAGGCACTCCCCTTGTTGCCACCGATTCGATCGGAATTCTTGGGGTCGATATATCGAGCAGCGTTCAATTTCGCGGTCACTTGGAAGGAAAAGCCAAGCTGGCTTCTAAAAAACTCGGTGTCCTAAACCGAGCGAGACAGTATTTCCTGCCGACACATCGGTTGCAGCTTTATAAAGCACAGATTCGGCCTCACATGGAGTACTGTTCTCACCTCTGGGCTGGGGCACCGAAATACCAGCTCCTTCTTTTTGACCGCATTCAACGAAGAGCTGCTCGAATCGTCGACGACCAAATCCTGTCCGATCGCCTCGATTCTTTGGCCTTGCGTAGGGATGTTGCATCCCTATGCATTTTCTATCGGATATATCATGGGGAGTGCTCTGAGGAATTGTTTGGGTTGATACCTGCTGGTGAATTTCACCATCGTACAACTCGTCAAACCGCCAAGTACCATCGACACCACCTTGATGGTTGGCGTTCCACCACAGTGCGTTTTTCACGAAACTTTCTACCCCGCACAACTACTTTGTGGAACGAGTTGTCGCCAGCGGTATTTCCAGACCGATACGACTTAGGGACCTTCAAGAAGAGAGCCTATTCCTTCCTTAAAGGCCGGCAACGCAATTGCGACTCAACCGATGTTGCAAATGTCCATGGGCTGCGGTGATCGCTTATCACCAGGTGACCCACATGCTCGTTTGCCTCGAATTCCCATAAAAAAAAAAAAAAAAAAAAAAAAAAAATCTTTCTTTCTGTCCGTCTGTCACTAGGCTGTATCTCATGAACCGTGATAGTAAGACAGTTGAAATAATATATAATGTGTTTTTATAATACTCTACTATTTCGTGCACGAGTCCGAGTTTGGAGGCGAACTTTGAAAAATTTTAAACCTTATCCTTTAAACGAGCAATTCTTGTATATATATATATATATATATATATAATCGGAATCTCGGAAACGGCTCCAGCGATTTTCATGAAATTTAGTATGTGCATAGATTCGGGGGCGAAAAATCGATCTAGCTAGGTTTCATTTTTAGAAAATGTCCTTTTATCCCTGTTTTCAGGTATCCTTTAAACGAGCAATTCTTGTATATATATAATCGGAATCTCGGAAACGGCTCCAGCGATTTTCATGAAATTTAGTATGTGCATAGATTCGGGGGCGAAAAATCGATCTAGCTAGGTTTCATTTTTAGAAAATGTCCCTTTATCCCTGTTTTCAGGGAATGAAAAATATAATTCAAATACAATACGGTAAATTTCGCCGCAAGAGAAAATGTCATAATAGCTCGGTCGGTAATCGGGCGGCCCCAAAACAGACGGCCGTGGTTCGCGTCACGATCATTTACACATTTTTTTTTTTACTTTTTTTTCGATTCCAGATCATTGCTTTCTCTTTCTTTTAATTTTTTGTCGATTTGTTATTTTTTTTTTTTTTCCCTTTTTTTTTAAAGTTCTTTCTTTTGTGAAAAACATCAGTTCATATTTTCTTATTATTACATAGGTAAGATCGAAAAATATTATGCATATTTCATTACTCAGTAATTTGTATCTAAATGTAATTTCCAAAATACACGATTTACCAAAAAAAAAAAACAAACCGAGCAAAGCTCGGTCCTCCGGGTACTTATCTTTAAAACAGAAATTAATTGTAAGCGTAGCGCTTTAAAATTCTTGTATATCAAATTATTTTATATTTGGATACCTATTTGACCAATTTCGGTCTATAGCGCCTTCGGAGCGTCTAAATATATTTCAGAAAACTATCTCAGTTATTTTTTATAAAATTTTCTGTTAATGACCCACCCACGTCTGTATATTGCCTTGTACATATATTACATGCTAATAAAAAAAACATTGCAATAATAAATAAGTAACTAGTTTTTATTGCCATAATAAACCTCTTCCTTTTTGGTGGTAAATAAAGAAAGTTAAATAATATAATCTCAGAGATAAAATACATTCATTACATTACGCAACCCATACTCAACTTTACGAGTTAGCGTTTGTGAGTGACGAGTATAGTTAAACTTCATTGTAAAACAAGTGTATTTGTATACTTGATAAGATTTTGCACAATTTAGGGAATATCTATAGAAAATGTTAATTAATGTACTTTTATGAATCTCAATATTTTCTGTTACCCTTAGCTTAATGGTATACAAATTGAAAATCGCTATGTCAGCTTTTCCGTATTTTCTTCCATTTTGATGTAGATAACCGTTGGGGAAGAAACGTTCTCGAGTGGCAGCTGAGAACCAGCAAGCAGAGAGACCTGTGCAAACGAACTAGGAATCGATGGATATAGGTGTCTCAGGATGGTGTTTCGCGGCAGTCTCTTTGGGAGGCCTATGTTCAATAGTGGACTCTTAACAGGCTGAAATGATTAAAATATGTAGAAAAAGTACGAAAAGATTGTCGCCGCTGTGGGAAATCGAACCCACGTCTTCGGCATTCGCGGCCTGACGCTTTAACCACTAAGCTAAACGGCTGATTGCCACACCGACGAAAATCTTAATGTCTTTTATCTACATTTTTTTTAGCATTTGAAGGAATGCTTGGTGCATCCATTGTTATATCCTTTCAGCATACAAACGATTCACTTATAAAGTTGGTAATAGAAATAAAAACAAGCTTTAATATATTTTATTTTACCATAGAGGATTGCCGTGTGGTGTCGGCGTAAGAATGAGCCACCCCATCTCATCCCGTGGGTATCGTAAGAGGCGACTTAGTGATACACAAACATCCGGTGGCCTCCGATAGATGGCGGGATAACCATCCTAACTCTCCAGACCCAAATATCCAGGCCAATAACGGGCAGCAGCGTTGAAGGTGCGAGGTGTCTGGAAGAACTGCGGTTGCCAACCCGCTCGCCAAGCGTGGCAACTATGGCAAAAACCACTCATGTATGGAAGCCCAAGGTGTACGGCCCCCAGTCCCCGGCGGCCCTGCTATTCCTGGCTACGGTAGCGGATTTATCGTCCACAAGTTTCTCATTAACAACGTTGTTAAAATCTAGGGTGTGTCGTCGAGGGTTGCGTACCTTATACTCAGAATATCCAAACGATATTCGCTGAAGGTCATACAGGTCTACGCACCAAAGTCGACACATCCCGATGATGAGGTGGAGGCAATGTATGAGGATATATCACGAGCCATACATTCCTCCAAAACTCAGTATATGGTGTTAATGGGGGACTTCAACGCAAAGCTAGGCAAAAGGAAAGACGATGTGCTGAGAGTAGGTAGTTTTGAAATAGGGCAACGGAACCCAAAGGGGCAGCAGCTGGCTGACTTTATGGAGAAGGAGGGACTCTTTATGATGAACTCTTTCTTCAAAAAGCAGCCCCACAGAAAGTGGACCTGGATTAGCCCCGATGGTTCTGTAAAAAAACGAGATAGACTTCATTATGACGAACGAACGGCAAATATTCAATGATGTCTCTGTGATCACAAGGGTGAAGACCGGCAGAGATCACTGATTAGTGAGAGGCACATTGAATATTAACATTAGGCCGGAAAGATTTCGTCTGATGAAGTCCACACTCCGACTATCTCGTGCCCATATCCAGAACTCCGAAAGCTTTCAACTCGAGCTACATAATCGTTTCCAATGCCTAGAAAATTGCAGCACGGTGGACGACATTAATGCAAAGCTCGTGGAAACTGTCCATGCCGCGGGCCTTAAATTTTATAAGGCCCGCCGCAAAAATAGAACCCAAACTCTCTGATTACACTCTCAACCTCTTAGGAAAAAGACGTGAGATGCGGTTGCAGTCTTTAACTGACATGTCGGACTACAGGCAGCTTAATAGGCAGATCTCCTAATACATGCGGCGAGACTTACGCAACTTCAATACAGCTCGTATTGAGGGAGCTATAGAGCGGAACCTAGGCTCAAAAGTCTTCGCCAGAGATCTGTGTATCGGACAATGCCAACTGACTAAGTTGAAGACTGACAGCGGCGCTATCATCTCCATTAGACCAGAGGTTTTGAGTGAGATAGAGAGGTTCTATGGACAGCTGTACACATCGTTGTTGGAGCCACACACATGTGTGAGTAACGACCCAAGAGCAAAGCTTATTCGACACTATTTCGAAAATATCCCGGACGTCAGTCTGAGCGAGATTAGAACGGCTCTTGACCATCTTAAGAAAGGCAAAGCATCGGGAGGGGACGAAATTACAGCAGAGCTTCTGAAAGCGGGTGGAGAACCGGTACTTGTAGTCCTTTAGAGGCTCTTTAATTCCGTCATTCAGGGTGGTGCTACACCAGAGGCGTGGAGCAGAAGTGTGGTAGTGCTGTTCTTCAAGAAAGGCGATAACGCTCTCTTGAAGAACTATAGACCGATATCCTTTTTGAGCCGCGTCTATGTGCTGTTCTCAAGAGTCATCTTGAATCGTCTCACTTCCAGACTCGACGACTTCCAGCCTCCCCAACAAGCCGGATTTCGAAAAGGCTTCAGTACCATAGACCACATACACACCTTGCGGCAGATTATACAGAAGACCGAAGAGTATAATCTGCCTTTGTGCCTATCGTATGCCTAGGCAGTGCCTAGCGTACGTGGACTTTGAGAAAGCCTTCGATTCTGTCGAAATTTGAGCGGTACTCCAGGCTCTTCGACTGTCGGTATATCGAGGTACTGAGGTGTTTGTATAACAAGGCTACGATGTCCGTCCAAGTACAATCCAGTAGTACAAAACCTATCCAACTGCAGAAGGGTGTAAGACAGGGTGATGTCATATCCCCGAAACTCTTCACCGCTGCGTTGGAAGATGTTTTCAAGCTTCAGGACTGGAAAGGACGAGGTATTAACATCAATGGCGAATACATCACCCACCTTCGATTTGCCAACGATATAGTCATCATGGCAGAATCGCTGGAGGACCTTGGTACTATGCTCAATGACCTCAACAGTGTCTCCCAACGGGTGGACCTTAATATGAACATGGAGAAGACGAAGATCATGTCTCATGTCCATGTCACGCCAATACCGGTTGTTGTTGGGAGTACTGAGCTCGAAGTTGTTGACGAGTACATTTACCTAGGACAGTTAGTCCGGCAAGGTAAGTCCAACTTCGACGCAGAGGTCAATCGGCGAATCCAACTCGGATGGGCAGCGTTCGGGAAACTACGGCAAATCTTCTCGTCAAATATACCTCAATGTTTGAAGACTAAAGACTTCAATCAATGTGTTGCCAGTGATGACCTACGGAACCGAGACGTGGTCCTTCACTGCTGGCCGTATGAGGAAGCTCAAAGTCGCTCAGCGAGCTATGGAGCGGGCTATGCTCGGTATTTCTCTGCGTGATAGAATTCGTAACGAAGATATCCGCAGTAGAGCCAAGGTAACCGACATAGCTCAGAGGATTAGCAAGCTGAAGTGGCGATGGGACGGCCATATAGCTCGTAGAACCGATAACCGTTGGGGAAGAAAGGTTCTCGAGTGGCATCGCAGTGTGGGACGACCCCCCACTAGATGGACTGACGACCTGTGCAAATGTGCGGGAAGTCGATGGATGCAGATGGCTCCGGATCGTGCTTCGTGGCAGTCTAAGGGGGATGCCTATGGTCAGCAGTGGACTCAAACAGGCTGAAATGATGATGATGATGATAGAGGATAGACAAAGACGGGTTCCTCTTGGGGGATGCCTATGGTCAGCAGTGGACTCAAACAGGCTGAAATGATGATGATGATGATAGAGGATAGACAAAGACGGGTTCCTCTTTTAACCGATGTCAGAAAGGAGGATGTTTTCAATTCTGTTGTATGTTTTTATTTTATGTGTATTACTCCGTCATTTACGAACCGATTTTAAAAATCTTTTTTAAATTTTGCATTGAGTTCCATTTAGCTTCTATGTGGTCCCATTTTAATTTCATTGGTAACGGACCGTGGACTCTGGAGATGCATCAGGGAACTCCACAAAATCAATTAGAAATTGTGTAGTGAGTGAGATGTATGAACTTAGCTTTGTGTTTTTTAAAATGTTTTCTAAAATGTTTCTTCTATTTGTTTATAATGTTTTTTCTACATATTTTAATGTTTCTTCTACAAAATACGAATGTGATATAGTAGTTTTCAATATTAACATAGTCGCACAATAGAAATGTCATTGGTACACACGTCCCGTAACGTTTGATTAAACTACCAACACAACCGATACATTGATATATTTTTAAATAGTACTGCTTCATATATCGCGGAAATGATTCCTGGTGTCTTTGTGAACGTTTAAGCAATAAGACTTTCCCAACTGGAGTCCCGATTCAGTGCAAGTTCGCACTATTTCCTGTCGAAGCTCTCAAACTCAACCTGCCAACGACGTTTACCATGATCCTTGCTTAACGTTGGGGATCAGTTATGTGGTTACATTAGTACAGTAGGCGATGGATATGCGGCAAGTGTGACCAGGCCACACCCATTTAAAGTTCAGCAATTAAGATTTCGGAGACTCTCTTGATGATTTTTAACAATTTAAGGCCCATTTTCACCTCGATTTGTTAGTTTATTTAAAGTGTTATTGAAGAAAGTGAGTGATCCACAATATGTTTATAGTTTATCAAAATTCTAAATAATTGGACGTTAAAAAACATATTTTTATATAAGACTTGGTCATTTTGTATTTGATTCATCTCATCATCATCATCATCATTTCAACCTATTTAAGTCCACTGCTGAACATAGGCCTCCTGCATAGACTGCCCAGAAGTACGATCCTAAGCCACCTGCATCCACATTTGCACAGGTCTTCACTCCATATTGTAGGGGGTCGTCCGACACTGCGATGGCCAGTACAAGGCTGTCACTCTAGAACCTTTCTTCCCCAACGGCTATCGGTTCTACGAGCTATATGGCCAGCCCGTCGCCACTTCAGCTTGCTAATCTTCTGAGCTATGTCGGTTATGTTTGTTCTACTGCGGTTGTCTTCGTTACGCACTCTATTACGTTAGATTCATCTAAAATTAAGTAATAACGGGTACGGAGGGATGCATATGCTTTGCCTACCTTTAAGAACCGTGGGCCTTGGTTACCTCGCTTCTGTTGGTCGAACGAGCCTGTCAATTCGTATGGCAGTGGAAGTTGTTAATTGGCTCCTCTACAGTACCATTATATTTTTAGTTTGGTAGAGGAAATGCTTAGATTCACATCAATGACTTAAAATGATAACATTTGATTGAATATTATATATTGGTTTAAATGAATATTGTATTAATTATTCAGCTAATATCCATGATTGTGATATTCTGGTCATGGAATAGAAAATAACATCATTGTTATTTTTAATTATTAAAAATTGATAACATTGTTAAAAAGCATAGGTACTCGTAACACAGATTGGCTAGGATTAAAGTATCAAACTTTTAATATTATCGAATTGTCACATTAACTAATTTGCCTCAGTAACATTGCTTAACAGATTTAAGTGAAGCGAGTAACACTTTACCTTTTATTTCCATTAAAACAGACGGAACATGTGTTGTAATGTTAATAAACGAATATGTACTGTAAGATAAATATAAAAATTGCTTCAAAACATTGTATTAATTTTTTTATTTATGGATGTTGGTGTTCGTACTAATATTTATAATGTGGAATTAATGTTTCCGCTAAATGTTTTATTCGTACGTAAACATCCGGTGGTTTTATAATGGTTTGTTGATACTTTCATACCTCTATAGTAACGTTAAATGCGACAATAAGAACACTGTTTGTTTTGAGTCAGTATTCGCGAAAACACGTTGTTTGACTAAGAGATGGATACTTATCTACATATCATTATCTCGCCTTATCTATAATTGTAAAGGTACGTATAAAAGGATGCAACGTCGGAATTTGGCATTATTTGTAACGAACGAGCCACAACGAGCACATAATTATAATAATTATTGTGATATTGTAACGAACGAATTTCGACATTGAGAAACTGTTAGTTGTGTGAAAATGCGGTTAATCCTGTTGTTACTTATTGTAAGTACATTTCTTTACTTATTATATGGCTTGCGTGGTGAAAGTAGTGGATTCGAATTTTAGTAGTATGAAACAATAAATTTGTATAATAAGCTTCTAATCTTTGCGACATAAGAATCCCTACACAGATTGGGTTGAAAGAAGTTCTGATTAATGTTTTGGTAATTAATAATACAAATGTAATAAAAAATAACTACTAGCTTTCTAAAAAGGGTGTGCGACAGTAGGTTTGTATCTACTAATTATAAATCAGATGGATTACAGTTTCTGATGATTAATTAGGATGTTATTTTTGTGTTGATATTATTTTGTGTTTTTCTCGGAATTTTTTCTCAGATTAATACAGTTTTATTCTTAGTTACACATTAAAGATAAGTATATATCATCATAGAATCAGGGTTTAGCATAGCATATATAACAACATTTTTTTATAGAATATAATACTAAAAATTTTTGACAGTTTTTTGGAGTAAAATAGATATTAATGCATTTTATCAACCAATTTTTCAAATTAAGGTAAATAACTAATAATGTCTTTAATCAACTATATTTTATATTTACTATTTATTGTCGTTTGTACACATAAATATTTTCTGTTTTTTGTTCATTGTATATTAAAGGAATTAATTTTTATCATAATCTAAACATTACGGAACAAATTTTACGGATTTATCTCGTATACTTAGAATTTAATTTCCAGACGATTAGAACCCTTTTCAGCGTTCATGGCCACGGCAAGATTGAGGCGTTGGACATCTGAATATCATTGTTTGCCCGGGCCCGCAAGATTTTTAAATTAGTAATTTTTATGTCCATCTACGTCTTGCAGTTGTGATTCATTTGGGCCCAGTTTTAATTTTATTAATGATAAGATCCCTAATTGATGGATTGAGCACTCAATCCTCTTACCTATTGAAATTAGGGTGTTTTTTAATTTCAATATGCTCGCGAATCATCCTTACGAAGAACCGATTTTCTTTTAAGGGGATCCTTGGTCTATCTAGGCCCAAACGGACAGAACTGCAAGACAAGAGACAATTAGTAACTTCTGCGTAGATAGACAAAATGATTATATAATAATTTAAAAACCCGTGAAGTAAAGTCTTGAAGGAGTTCGAAAAGTTGGGAAATAAAATTAAAAATAAACGCAATAAATCAGCAAATAAATTTCATTTAGTATAAGTAATATATAATAGCGCAAAATACAATAAATTTTATAGAACGACTTTCGAAGTTTTTTTACATTACATTTTTAAACTTTAGTCATTGTTAAGTGCGGTACCACCGGCCATTTTTTTTAAATAACAGTAAATGATTGAACGTTTTAACATTTGCAGGTGGGTGTTTGTTTGGTGAGTGCGAAATACTTACCTGATAATACAGATAGTTTTAAGCAGTTACTGAGCCGTCATACGAGATCTGATTCAGAAGATTCCCTTGATGAATCCAATAGTAATGCTACTGAAGACATGTCTGATGAAGAGTCCAATGAACAATCTAAATTAAATGCAAGAATAGAAAAGATGCGACACAAATTATTAGAAAAACAAGAAAAAGAAAAGCGTAAACAAGAAGAAGCGCAACGAAAACTTGAAGAAAAAATTGAGAGAGAATTGAAAAAAGAAGAAGAAAAACGACTGAAAGAGGAAGAAAAACGGCAAAAAGAGGAACGTAAACGAGAAGAAAGATTAGAAAAGGAAAGAAAAAAACTTGAAGAAGAGCAACGAAAACTTGAAGAAAAAGTTCTTAAAAATGAACAAGAACGACAAAAGATATTAAAAAAGGAGTTAGAGGAATCGGAAGTAGATACACTTAAATTGCAATGGGATGACAATAATTCCTCAGAGTCAGATACAGATGACTCAACAGAGTTAGAAGATTTCTGGAAGAAATATATTTATTCTAAATACGGACTTAATGACAGTAATACAGATTTGGATAAGGAGACAGCTTTGAAAAGGTATATGCAAGAAGAACTAGGTCTCAACATTAATAGCACAGCAAGTGAACGTCGTCAAGCTGTACTTCGTTTGGTTGAAAACAAGTTACAAACAGTATCAAATCAATATATCTTGCAGAGTCAATTAATCAACTTTGTAAATAGTGTTGGCGCACAAAAAATACGTGCACAGTTAGAAAAACAAATTGAAGAATTGAACAACAAAACAGATATCTTGAGTAACGTTGATTCACCGTGGGTACCACTTGCCAAAGAAAATTTTGCCGAACAAGTCTCTTTCTTACAAACTATCAAAGAATTTTTGTCAAAAATTTTGCCAAATTGGTTTAATGAAAAAGTATCTACAATTAAACCAACTATAAATGGGGCATCGACTTCAAATGATAACAATCCTTCTACTGTTGACTCTTTTAATTCCGTGCGTAACGAGAATATATTACCAGAAATAAAATCTACTCTGAGTTCATCAACTGAAAATAATTTGATTGAAACAAAACCTTCAGCGATTCCGGATTCTTCAGATATTTTCAATAATAGTGTGTCATCTTCCAATATTGGTACCAAAGTAGTTCCAGTGTCAACTGTTGCTATCGGAGCTGAATTAACATCAAATCAAGACACAAATAAAGACTTATCACCCGCTTCTGCATCTACACTTCCAACAAAAGGCGCTAGAGCTAAGAATGAAGCAGACACCAGCGCATCAATAGTACCAACTAATGCTTTAGATGGTTCAGTACAGGGGCTGAAAAATATCTATAATTTAACAGATTTGATCGATAAAGTAGTAGGTTCGGATTTTGAGCGAAGAATCGGATCAGATGTTTCCACGATAGGTTTGGCTAGTGGAAGTAACTCTACGACAAAATTGGATAATAATGGTAGTACATCTGACGCACCAAATTTAGATGACCCTCTAATCGTATTATCGACCGTCATAAATGATGCGATAGTCTCACGAACTATCCTTAATAATGAAAACAACATTTCGATAAAACCAGAAACTGGAGCAAGTGCCAATCAAGACCTTTCTTCGAAAACAGCATTAGTTAGTGACTCTGCTATGAGTACAACAAATATTCTGCCAATTACAAGAGCTGAAGCAAATACTTCTCCTCATAATAATGATTTAGCTGTCGACTCAAATAGTGAAAATACAAACGGTACAATCAAACCAGTTAATGATCTTTCTGGTGATAAAATAGAAAGTCCAACCGTCACTGACGTAAAAAGTGAAGTGAAAAGCGACTCTATTTCATATAATACAGTGTATGGCAAAACTGATTCAAATCAAGTCCTCTCTGATCCAGCGCCCATTCGGGATTCTTCAAACAACATAAATAATATTTCACCGATACATATGAGTGGTGGCTTAAACACTGCATCAACTGCAATAGTGGATACAATAATAGGTTTAAGCAACGGTAACGTTGTCCTACGGTCCACAGCACCCACTTATGATTTTTCAATCATGGTTACAGAAATTTTGTCATCTGCGATAACGACTGAGGTACCAGTGGCTATTTTAGTTGCCGATTCTACAAAACAGAAAAGAAATAAAATAACAGGTGTAAGCACAGATCAAGCCATCTTATCGAATCCTGCTTCCTCTTTTGAGTCTTCAAATAATGCAAATATTTTGTCATCTACAACTGTGAACAGTGGGTTGAACAACACGAGTATAGTAAATGCTGGAACTGATATTGTGAATGAAGTTATGAACGGTGATATTTCAACATATTCAGATAATGTAATAGACTTAAGCACCGATAGAGTTGTCACTGTAAGTTCATCATCCACGAATTATCCTCCGATTGATCCTTTAACATCTTTACTGCCGAAGGATAACAGACTAGACAGTGATTCATCTATAAATAATGCTTTTACAAATACAAGAAAAAACGAAATGATAGAGCCAGATACTACTATAATAAATTTACCTGAAAGCTCTACTAAAATCATCTCAACAAACAGTGAGGTAACTCCATCTTTAGTTGATGTTGTTGATAGGGATAGGGTTGCAGGAAATATAAATGTAATTGCACCAGATTCAGGTATTAATGTTATAGATACAAGTACTGATAACATTGCCTCATTAAACATCACATTGCCTAATTTACTGAAACCTGCTGAAAACGTAACAATATATAGTTCCCAGACTGATATTGCATCTGAAAAGTCAACTTCAAACGTCGATATTTTACCAATTACAATTCAAAATAATTCTGCAAGCTTTGGTGAAACTGTTTCTAGTGCTGTAACTCAACAACCCGTTTTTCAAACAGCAACTTTGACTACTATTATGAGCGAAGAAACCTACCCATCCTTGCCTATTTTTGATCAATCCTCAGTTGTCGTAAGTGATATTCAACAGTTCTCAGATATTAATACCACAAGAGATCAATTCCTAGAAAATGCTGTAACATTGCCTAATACGGAACAAACCGTTGTTACAGAAATCGTACCCGAAAAGGTCCTACCAACAGATATTGCAATTCCCGTTGAACAGGGTGCATTAGTGATAGATATCGCTAAACAATAAACAATTTTAAATTTTCTACGACCTTTAATTTTTTTAATTTGAGCAAAGGACTAGGTTTTGTTCATAACATTTTATTTTGTATTATTGTTAGTTAAAGTCGAAGTACTTTTAATAAATGTAAATATATTGTATAGTTTTGTGTTTTACTACTATGGTGATATTGAATCAGTTGGACAGGGTTCATCATGGATCCCGCAGATCATAATTCCATTATACATTGAAACATTTCTTGAAAATATATAATATTTAAAAAAAGCTAGCATTCACTACTACTAACTACAATTTTCATACAATATAATTGAGGTACGATATGGTGTTACCTGAAAGAAATTAAATGAGATAGTTACTATTATTATTTATACTAGCGACCCGCCCTAGTTTCGCACGGGTGCAATGTATTATACATATAAACCTTCCTCTTGATTTACTCTATCTAGTAACAAAAACGGCATCAAGATCCGTTGCCTAGTTTTAAAGATCTAAGCATACTAAGTTACTTTGTTTTATACTATGTAGTATAAAACAAAGTATAAAACTTTGTTTAGATATATTGATACTATGGATGTGTATATACAGAAAGTAGGACCACTAGTCATTAAAATGAAACGAACAAAATAAATCATGTGTATATTTTACTACTGACTTTGTCTAAAAATATTTTTACAATTTGGCTTTATTATAGGTATACTTAAATGGAATGCTTAACAGAGGTATTTTTAAAAACTTATACATAAATACGCACACATATACATATATATTAACATCTAAATTACGACGCTAAAAATGTAGTAGTTGAGATTGCAGATTTAATAAGTTTATATTTTTTAATCAAATCCAGTATTTATTAGTTGTGTTCGGGGGATTAGGATAGTTATGCTGGTTAAGAGGGTCTACCATATTGGGAAAAGCATACGGATCGTTCATATATTTATATTCACTAGATAAACCAGCTAAACTCATGTTTAGAGAGCTATGGGACGGACTCCAATTTGTAGATGCTGTGGGGTCAACCGATACTTTAGAATAATCTGTAGGAACTTTAGGATATTCACTACTTGGTAACTCTTTAGTGTAGTCACTCGGTGTATTTTTAACAAAAGACTCATCTCGAGGCTCTATTACTTCATCACCAGTTACTTTATCCTCTCCTTCAGTTTCTTTTGGTAAATAATTAATAGTTTTATTATAAACATCATTAGAATATCGCGGATAATCGTTTCTCGGTACACTTGGATCTAATATTTGGCTATGAGGCGGTCCACTTGTACCAGAAACGAGGTGCCCAAAAGTAGAACCTGATGTACTTGGAAAAGCTGCATTCTGGAAAGCTTGGTTCAAATGTTGAGACTGGGCCATAAGCTGATTGTAGTTAGCGTATTTTTGGTGATGCCAACTATCGCTATGTTGAGGATGATGTTGCGAGAGTGTAGATATTTCTCCTGTTGGATACGGGCACGGTATCTGTGGCATTGGTATGGTAGAGTAGCTGGCAAGTGTTTGTGCAGTATTAGACCCTGTGTGCTTTCGAAGCCGTGCTCTGCGATTAGAGAACCAAACCTTTGAAAAAAAGAATTAAAGATTTATTTGTGAATTGAAGTTACATGATTTTAAGTATTCATGAAACTTTATTTGAAAAGTTTTTACAAAAATTAGATATCATGATTGATAAGTATAAACTACTAGACAAATGTACCTGGATACGGGCTTCTGTGAGACCTGTTTGTAGTGCCAATTCCTCTCTAGTATATACATCTGGGTATTGTGTTCTATGAAATGCTCTTTCGAGGGCATCCAGTTGTTCACCGGTGAATGTGGTTCTTGATCGACGTTGTTTTCGTTTCAGGGTTAAACCAGGTTCAGATTCAATGTCTGAAGAATCTGAACCTCTACCTGTAAAAAATTGAAACATAACATAATCTGCGAACACCATAGTAATTATTTAATACATAATCGATTTATTATTGGTTCATGAGTTCGATTTTAACTTGGTAACAATGAATTTGTTGTAAAATTATGTTAACAATGAATTTGAATTTGTGAAGTTATATGTAAAAAGAATTTTCATGATGATGAATTTACATCAAGCAGAAGAAAAAAATCCTATCAAGCATAAATAAAAATATTTCACGACGGAGTGAAAGTGTATAACAAAATACGAATTATTACTAATTTTATGTTACGAGTATTAACGTTAGTTATAAACTTATTCTAACTGAACTATTAGTATTGGGTAATTACTTGCAGTACATTTATCAAAACGATATTATAACAGACTTGTACCATTATTTAAAATGTGAATTTTGTATCGGCAACGATAAATAATTTATGTATTAACATCAGCAAAAACAAATTGTAAGCTTTGCGTGCATCAAACACACTAGAAATGCTAAGTTGTGAGCTAATTATGGTCATGTGTGATCTACTCGTACAAAATTTTTCATAATCAAAAACCGTTGTAATTTATTACACGTCGCCCCATTCCAATTTGTCTTCATTCGTTTCCATTTCTCTCGGAACACGCGTTATTTATCAACGGAGCGTTATTTTTTTCGTGTAAACCCACATCACGTTTTAATTCGCCCAAATCAAGGATCATCGCAGTTGCAGGCGAGCGATCTCATTTATAAATCGGTAGCGGTATCCTACGGAAACAGATTTAAAAAATGGCCGCAACAATGCACGGCTTTGCCCTTAACACCCGATTTTAAAAAATGCGGCTTATATTAATAGCCTTTTGAAAGAAGTCAAAATTGAATGAAATGAAAAAATGGGGGCTCAGCGTGGCCCGGTGTAAGGAACACCCAGCGCGGCGGGCTCTTTGTCGGCTCCTTTGCCGTCCGGGTGACATTTTGGCACCATTCAATATTTTGGTGTCGCGATCTGGATTTATGACACGTAAAAGGAAAAGTTCGCGCGTTTTAATGTGTTGGATCACTTTTGAGTTAAATATGCATTGCGGGTGAACATTTTTTGGGCGTTTTGCATAAGCACAATGCGTTATAAGTCATTGAAACTGTTACATACACATCTGCAATGTGCATATTCTATATAAAAATATAACTGTATTTATAGTTAAGATTTTTCATCGGAATAAATAATTAAAATAGCTATTTTGACAGAAAGGGGACAGACAGCGTTAGCTGTCTCTATAAGATTCCAATTTGCTATTTTCTCTCACTCTTTACTCCTCAGTCATTTTTGTACATAATGACACATAATTATTATTTATCTATTTTGCTTTAAATTGGTAAGTAAAAAAAGTTTTTAAGTAGAGGACTAATATAATCACATAAAACGACTTACACATGTTGAAAAGCAATGAACAAAAAGAAGTGTCGTAATAAAATGGTTCACATTGCTCAAATTCTATGGCCGAATCGTAAGACAGGGACAAATAATTTTGTCTTTTTTTTACCGATTCTGATCATAACGTATGGGGCTAAATAACTCGCTGTGCGTACACCCACTGTCCTAAACCATTCAGAACTTTAGCGCGCGGCTATAGGGACTGTTTCGGTGAACCTCTCGGACTTGGAAATAAAAGTGAGGCCGTAAAGGATTTTATGCCCGACGGAACGCGAGAGGCTTACCTGTCGGCCGCGGGAGCGAGAGAGTGGGAGGATCTTTTGCGATTGCCGAAATGTGACCCCGTGAAGACGCCGGCCCCGCTCGAAAGTCATAATTTGAGAGTTGAAAGAGCGGCGGCAGGGGTTTAACACCTTCATAATCTGGGTTCATTAAAGCGGCCGGGGCGGCCTTTGTTTCAGCGGTCTGTTCCGATGCTAACAGATGGCCGGATTAGCACGTTCGCGCGGCGGGGGCGTCGGTCCGTTTGGTCGTTTTTCATCGCGGCTCCGCGCACTCCCTTAATGCCCTCGTCAAAGTTGTTATTGAGGTCTGGACGGTGGATTCGGTTACGTCAGTTTGGATTTGTAATTAGCGTGTAGAATATTGTTTCCTTACAATCGTAAGGCACTATGTCAGATGTGGAGATATAATTGTTTTACACCGTCATATAATTTTAATGATATTAAATAATAAAGATTTGTTACACTTTCGTTAAATATTTCACGGATAGAAGATATTGTGTGTATTCCCTTTTGTAGTCATCTATGAAAGTACTAAGGAAATCTGTAAAAGAAAATGATGTCATGGTTATGGGACTTTCATATATATATACAAATATATTTATCCCAATATATCGATTTGTTGCGAAAATTAAATAAGCGCTTCTTTAATAGATATTTAAAGAAACGAAAAATTCCCTCCAATTTTCAGTCCTTTGATTTGGCATCCGATAAGATTCGTCTCAATCTGGGAGGGCTTGCTTTGAAATTTGATGCAACAAAGCGACAAAGTCGTGTCGTATAAAACGCTACATAAAATATCATCACTGAACATTTTGGTTATACGCGTGTAGACGAGTATGTTGTTTGACTATACATGGGAAATATAAAATTAGGAAATATTTAATAGGGTACACAACAGGTATAATTAAAAGGTATCATATTTCGGGCATCTTGATTCATTTCCACTGATTAAAAGAACATTTTCTTCATGCATGATCGACTTTTAAATGTTCATTTTAAAATTGATGTATAAACGCTGCATAAAATAGGGATGTTTAAAGAACAATTCATGCTCTTAAAGTTATTTGAATTAGAATTACCAATCCATTTCCATGTTTTCATGTCTTTATTTGATCTGCGTATATTTATTTAATTTAATTTTTGTTTTTCTTTTCAATTTAAATTAATATTCCTCATCATGTAAAGAAATATATTTAAGAGATCGTCTGCAAATAATGTAATTACTAAATCAAAATATGTCAAAATCTTTCGTATTAATAATTAAAGCTAACTTCTCATTAATACAAAAAACCGTAGAAAACAATTGACCGCCTTTTTTTGTTACGAATGCAATACAAATTTAGCGATTGCGACTTCGTGGTGGTTCTTTGTAATGGTCCATCTGCGCTCCACGGCGCGACATTAGTTGATTCTAACGAGCGATGTTATTAAACAAATGCGAGATTTTATCGTCGGCTCTTTTTGTATTGTTCTGATGCGACGTGAAAGTGGATCGTCTGTTTTATCGCGATGTCGCTCACGAGGCGACAATTCCTACATAATGTATAAAATATGAACGGTCGCCTTTCGTAATTTGCAGTTACGTTCACTGAATGAAGTAATTTCGAATGAAATACACGAATAATAGTACGCTACGTTTTCAAAGATTTCTTCGTTACAATTATTTCGCTGATTTTAACGGGTACGTTTAACGATTACAAAAAGAAACAGCCTATACATGTCCCACTGCTGGGCAAAGGCCTCCTCTATACAGAGGCTATCAGGGCAAAGTCCACCACGCGGCCCAACTGCGGATTGGCGGACTTCACATATCTTCGAAATAATTCTTTTTTTTTTGTTATTATTTCGAAAATATGCAGGTTTTCTCACGATGTTTTCCTTCTCCGCGGAGCACGTGATAAGCGTTTATTTAATGAAACGGGTTATATAATTATGTTCGTGTTGAGGATCTCTAAAATTTTCATCAAATTCAAAACTTTTAGGAAGTGACAAAAACGATAAAAACCTTTTTAAAATAACTAGATATGCTTACATTTTTCTTCGTTTATTAAATTCAAAAAAGTCAACTTTACTAGTTCAGTATTTTGTGTAATCCTTGGTTATGTTACAAGGTAACTATGAACTTAATTGTTTTGTGAATTAATTTTAACACAATCCATTCGCTACAAAGTTTGGCAGCCAGATAGATTAGCAAATGGTTAGGTACTATTTTAGATTTATGTCCGGGAAAGATCTTGCCGACTTGCTTCGTGTGCCGCCATGAATCGTGAATGTTCTTAATGAATTCTTTCTTAACGTCAATGGGTTGACCGGTGGTAAAGCCGTCCCTACCGCATAATACAGGCTTCGTGCGTGTGTACAATACTGCACAATATATCTGTTGGGTGAGACAAAGGAAATAGACCAATGGAGACCGCTCCGCCTCGTCAATTGGTCGGTCGAATCAAAGTCGGATATCCCGGCGTCACGAATAGACGACGCTCGAACGCAAAGAACAATCGGATCGGCGACAAAATATCGATTCGGACAAAGAGGTCCACCAAAACACGTTACGTCAATTGTCGGGGTTTCAGCACTATGAAGAGGCGCGGCGGGCGACCGCGGCCGCTTTGTCGGTCGCGTTTGCCAGCGCGGCCCGCCCTTTAGCGCCTCGAGAACCAACTCCAATATTTCAAACGGCAACAATGACAATGCAAGATTTGTGTGCGGAAATTGATTTTTTTTCTTCGCGTGAGAATGCTTTACAGGTTGCCGCTGTTGCGAAAAAGGCGTTTGCGGCGTTCGGGAAGTCATTGTGCAACGTTCGTTGCGAGTAGGGTTGTTGGTGTGTTAGAAATTGTCGTTTTATGTGTTCGAGACATTATTCCTGAGTTTCGTCTTCTACCTTCGAGTTAATTAACTAATTAAATATTTTTCCTTTAAATGTATATATAATATATGGAGAAATAAACTATTCAGTAAACCCTTTGCGTTTGTGAAGTCTGCTTACCTCCAAGTATGCCATCAATACTGTAGTCCTTTTTTCCGTCCGGATCTCGTGAACCACCCCTTAAGAGACGCGAAATAGATGATATGCTTGGTGGGTCCGTAACACCCTCCTGGAAGACAATAATTCAGGTACTTTTTATAGCTTTAGATGTATCTAGAATTATAGATTTTGTAATAAGAAAGACAGTCCAGTACAACACGGTAATTTTTATCGAAACATTTTATGTGAGGTATAGATTTGTCAACAATAATTAAGAATTAAAGAGTTTGATGATAAAGTTGATTTAAACAAAATAGAACTACGTACAGTACTTTCTTATTTACGCAAACTAAGGGGAAAAAAAGCAAAATTGTATCAAAGAGTGCAGGAGAGAAAATAGAATAAAATGGTTTATTGTTTCTTATTTTTATACATTGTGTGAAAAAGAGAAGAAAGAAAAAAAGAGTATAGAAAGTAGAGTTAAAAGAAAGAGTAAAGTAGAAAACGCAAAACTTCTAGTGATTTAGACTTGCAACAAGTCTGTCACTCGCTATTTTGAACTTTTTAATAAACGCAATGATACATGTAAGTACAATTAAATTAAAATTGATTAGATTTACTGTAGAAAGTCATGTCTGGGAATTAAGCGCACTGTATTTATATGACCTATAACCTCATCTTGGTGGTTTATGACTATCAGTAGCAATAATTTCTAAAATAAGTTATTGGAATATTATGTAATTCTTAAATCTACGGAAACTACCTTGCCAAGCGAATAAATAATTCAATTATATTTTAAGCCTCTGTTTTTCTTGGGGTACGTCAGAAGAATATCAGGAAGTATTATTGATTAATACATACGTTTTATAAGTCTTCATAAATGCTTTAATCGATGTTTATTGTACTATAAACCGATGTGGCTACTCTAAGAAGAATATGGTCACGACTATGAATAAATAAAGTGTTTCGATGATTTAATCTAATAGTACTTCCCATTTTTTTCTTATCATGATTTTATTATAATATGTAGATTTATCAGTTACCGCTGATTTACAAAAATATTGTGAATAGTATTCGTATGTAAATTAAAACCACCTACATAAAAATACTGCATATAGAATTGACCATTCTGTTGGATGTATGTTTCTCTTAATAATGTTGGTTAGATGTCACTTTATTGTCGTAGCACTCTAGTCTGAAACTTGTAACTAGTTTAGTTGGAGAGAGCCAATTTAGTAAAGTATCATGGTTATGATTCATAGGCAGACATAATAACTATCTGAAATTTCATAACAGAGTTTCACAAAGTTGGCAACTGCAATGACCGCGGCGAATATCGGCGGAGCGTGAATCGAGCTAATATTCATTCCGTAATAAATCATCTTTAGACTCTTGACCTCCGAAATTTCACCGTCTCAGTTTTATCAAGCTCGAAGGCGAAACTGAAATGGTGGGCTCGATCAGTTAAAAAGTTAACGTTTTACGAAACACGTTTAAGAACGCGATCTTTTTCTAAAATAAGTGACTAATCTAATACATTGTTTGCAGAATCTAAAATACGTACACCACGATCCTTTACTTTAGGTCTACCCTAATGGCTCCGGGGCACAGTTGCCAAAGCAGGCCTAGGCGCCGGGGATCGCGGGTTCGAATCCCACACGGGACAAATATATGTGTGATCCACAGATTATTGGGTCCACGGGAAATTTATGTACATAAAACGTGCTTACAACACGAGATAATGTTATCCTAAAGTGGTAAAAACATATCTTTCTAGGTAGCAATGGTCGTTGAGAGTTGCTACCTAACTCCTTAGTTATGTGTGGCAAGCGAGCTGGCGGTTTAGTGATAATCGCCACCCATTGACATATGCAATACCGTTGTAGGGATGCAGATGTGTTGCCACCTTATAAAACTTCCACACAAAATACAAATAAGAGTCCCTTCTTTTAGTTCAACTAATAAAATTAATGTCAATTTGTCAATTAATACTTTCATTAAACTTCAAAAAATACCTTAACATTATACGTCAACACACATATTTGACTTTTGTACTATGTATGTAATCAATGGGTATATTCAAAATTGATAAAAGTGTGCAATTTCTTAGTACCTAATTACAAAAAAATAGTTTGACACACAGTTAATGGATTTTTTACAGAATAGTTGGAGTTCGCAAATGGAAAAAGACATCAATCCAAGAAAAAATAAAACTACAAGGGATATTAAATCAACTGTATTATTTAAGATAGACGGCTGAAATTATCTTAATACGCATACAGACATTCTAATGGATAGGTTACATTATTGAATTTTCATCGCAATTTTGTAAATTTGTATTGTATTATTAATATAACGAATCACTTATTAGTTTAACTTGCTTCCGAAAACGTTTAATTTATTCGGTGCCAATAATTACATAATCAATTTTATGTTAGGGTAGGGGGTTCAGCCAGCGTAGTGATACCTAATACAGTACACTTAAGTAACACTTTTCTGCTTTGATAATATTTATAAAAAAACTTTATAAAAGTATTCATACACAACAACAGTCCGCCAATTGAAATTATAAGTATTTATGTCAATACAACCTGTATTCTTTAAAGCTATGTAATCAATTGATTCGACAATTACTAGCGTATCATTGGCTATCCTGTATAGAAGTGATGGGTGACTGTGAATAAATTCCTTTCATTAAATCAGTTTTGTGAGCGTTGCTCAATTTAGGTCAATAAGGAATGAGTTTGAAAATGGCTGAACTGATTTTAATGGCGCTTTTCCTCGAAAACAGGATTTAATAGTCCGTGGCCTTTTCTTTCAGATCAATAAGGCCCTCGTCGGAGACATAAATGTTTTAATAAAAATAACTTTCTCTTTCTATTTATAGGGAAATAATGTGCGTTTTAGTTAAATCTTCGTAAAAGATTGCACGTAGAGTAACAAAAGTTGAGACGAACGTATCATACCTTTATTAACTTTTCCCTTATTTCCCAGGAAAATATTCCTGGATTCTGTCGTTTCAGTTCTTCAATTCGGGCTTCAACTTCGGGTGTTGCCACTCTGGGTTTTGATCCGCCAATTACTCCTGGTCTGATTGACCCCGTCTCCTAAGCAAAAAGAAGATATTGGACCTTTTTAGAACACCGCGAAGAGTGTGTTTTCGAATCGATTGAAAAGAGTGTTGGTGCTGTGAAAAAAAAATTAAGTTACAGTTCCATGAGTAAAATATTAAAATAATGTAACAATTATGTATGAGTTAATTAATGGAATTGTTGATAGTTGTAAGTATAACGCAATGTGTTTCTGATTTTGTACTTTCACATGAACAGGACTACTAAGTTTAAATTTGGAAGGACTTTAAAACTGTGTTGGAAAAAGATGTTTCAATGATGATGTTCAATTCTATTATTTTCTAAATATCGGTCTGAACTTTTATTTCAAGTTAAGGAGGCTATTTGAATAGAGAATTAAGAAATTGAAAATTTGTGTAAAAAATAAATCAACTAAAATACCCTAAACAAGAGATTGATTACTTTTCAATTAAATCTAGATTTAAATATAGTAAAAGACGTTTTTATTGGTACGCAATTTATACGACCCATTGCCATTTCTTACTGAATATTATTACTTCAAAAATAATCTTAATGGGCGCAAACATTACACATATAGCGCTTATTTGAAGCGGTACTTATTACTTTGACAATGGGTGTAAACGGGTTAGTGGAGGTCGCTTCAGGGCACGTGGAGCGTAAATAAACATTTCCTGGGCAAACAATCGCCATTATTCCGGCACGTAGGTACAGGAGTATTGGTGAAACCAAACCTTCAGGCTTGGCCGCGCAGAAAATCAATGGCAATTGTTTAATATGCCGCCGGGAAGGAGGCGTTAGAAGATTGACTTTAGTACCCAAAATACGACTAATGACGTCCAAACGGCCATTTTGCGTTTCAAGCAGAATTCAATAAGCTGTTAACAAAATAAATAGAACTAGTTAAAGATATAGCATTTATATGAAATAAAATAAAATATGAAGGATGAATGAGCCATCAATTATTTACTAATAGAAGCTTCAATACTTATCTATAAATTAATGATGTACGATAATTTGAACTCCCTCACCTGGTACCTATTAAGAATTTTGGAGACGCATCCGTGTGACACTCGAAGTTGGCGCGAAATAACACACGGTCTGACACCAGCCGCAGCCATTTCCACTATCTTGAGTCGGATGTGGTTCGGCAGTGGTCTCCCGTTGATGAACAAACCGCCGAGCTGGTTCACCCGACCCTGTCCTAATTCAGTTCAGTTATTAAACGTGATTGTTTGGTTTATTGTTTTCTTTGGAATTTTAATCGATGTTACTTTTATGCACCACGTTAGTATACAGTGATTCGCACTAGACTAAAAATTTTTGGTGGAATATGTTGTTCTAAGGAAGTTTACATATTTGGATGCATGTTAAAATAATTTAAACTAAGTTGAATAGAAACAAAAGGAGTGTTTCATGCTAATCTTCTGAATATAACACAAGTGCAAACACAAAAATTGTTTGCGCACATTTTGGGACCTTGCAGTGATTCCTGCTCAAAGAAGAAATAGAAAAGTTTACGATATTTTCACAGGTTACGAACGGAAATACAAAAAATATTATGTCAATTCGTGCAACGTGCAAAAACTTATTTGTAATGCTAATAAGAATAACTCAAATGCAGCGAATTTTCAAACAAAATTTTCCTAATAAGATTAGTCAAATTGGAAACAATACTCGTATGACACGATCATATGAAGTAAGGTATTAAAGAAAAGGGTTATTTAGAATAAATTTTCAATTGTGAATGTTATAGAAGTCAAAAGCTAAGGAAATAGGAATGTTGTGAGTGGCCAGATTGCGAAATTAAGACTTGAACTGAGCTCTTACTGTCGTATTTTTTTTTGTTTAAATTTAAAAAAAAATTAAGATTGTTTAAAGATAAAAGAGATTGTCTTTAAGTTATTGAAGAATATTGTACTGCTATTCTCTGCATTTTAGATTGAAGAAATTGTTGACAAATGGACGAAAAGTTTCTTGCCGCTACAGATGAAGGATTTGAACCTGTGTCCTTCGGGATACGCGCCCGTCACTCTAGCTACTAAGCTAACCGCCTTACCTTCACACCGACAAAAAACTTTACGTATCTTATTTTCTTTGTTTTTTTTTATTACATTATTAAGCAATGTTTGCCATTATCTAGTGCGTTTGGTTTACAGCAAACTTCCACTTCTTCATATAACATTTTTCAATGAAAATTTTGAAAATCTTTGCTATTAAATTTTTGATGGATATATGGTTGTTGTTTTGATTGAAATAAGTAATGGACTAGAATAGTGAGAAAATTATGTTAAAGTAGTCAGTGGCCCTAGTGAGTGCGAGGTTAACGTGTTTAAACGTATAAAACGATTATCATTATATATTAAGCACTCTCTACTATCTAATATGATACAAATTTCGAATGTATACTAAAACATTAAAGCTATTTTTCAGATTTTATATGATAAATTTTAACGGATTTTTAAATATAGCAGGGATATTAAGAAGCAATTCGTATTTTGCTACATTTTTAAATATACTGAAGGTTATTGATTGCAATGTTATTCTCCTGCCCCGATATATTTGACAGATCACACTAGACAACAATTGCTTGATGAAATATATTGTTCTAAAGTAGACATATTTCAATGCAATTATTTAAAACAAATTCGGATTAGAATCAGATAACAATTTTTATATTTAATTTTTATATTTAACTTTAACTAAGTAGACAAAAGAAAGACAAAAAAGACTATTATGCTAATCATCTGTATTGATCCCAAAGTATACGTGCAAACAAAAAAAATGTTTGATCATATTTTGGGTAATCCACATTTAAAAATAGTACTGAAAGGGAAATGATCATTCGATTACAATATTACAGAAAACGGTGCAAATATCATTTTTATTATTAAACGGTTTTATTTAGCTCGACCCGTACGGAATTTATTTGGGTCAAAATTAGAAATTGAAATTTAAGCACCTTCCCGTTGTCAGATTGATCTGAAATTTAGTACACACATTTAATTTAGATAACAATACAATATTGTGTGAGTTTTCAGTGCACATAAAATAAAACCGTTTAACTTCAAAGTTTTTAAACGGTTTTATAAACTATTTCTGACGCACCATTTATTCGGTTACATAAATATCATAATAAAGCATTTAGTAGTCATGTCTATATTCTAACACTTCTAATTCCAATATCAAATCTCAAAACATTCAATATTGTTCTTATAATTTATAATAATTTTAACATCATTGACACATTCCAATTAAAAGTCTTAACTTCAAAGCATTTAATTTTTATGGATGTCAGTATTTTAATTACTATCATTTATCACTGGTAAAAAAAAACTTCTTATCTTCATTTTCACTTCAACTGAATCTATATTTATATTATTTTAAAAATCACAATTAACGGTGGTAGGGCCATGCAGCAGCCTCGGCTGTTGCACGAATGGGCAGTCTCGTCCGGGTAAGTACCACGACCTCACAGAACACCGGCGTAAAGTGGAAGTATAATACTTTCGCGTATCGTCTGGTGAGTGAGGTAGCCGGAGCTCAATTTTCAAAAGGTTGTCAACGCATCTGCAAACCCTCGGGTGTAACAGAAGTCCATGGGCAGTGGTATTTATTCACTTAGCATCAGGTGAACCTCCCTCTTCTCGCTTGTTTGGAAACTTTACACATCAATGTCAATGTAAATGTAAAAAATGTAAAAAAAAATTAAAAAAAAAGTGTCATTGGAAGAAAAAATAAATTTAGCATAAGAGACAGTGATTACATTCCATTACTGATGCATAGACAAATAACAACAATATTTTTATATACCCTTACCTACCCACACATCCATACCATTTTGGTGGCGTTCCATAATGGTATGACGGTCTGAACGAAATTTTCACTAACGGCGGCTTGTCACAAACAAAGGAAAAAGCACATAATATATCGAATGTCAAACATTCTACTATCACACAACCAAATTATATCTGAAACATTTAAGCGTTGTAACATCAAAACGTTAACACCGTAAAAACGTCACAAATTATGATAAATATCTATTTACATTACATTAAGACGGAAAGGATCAGAACACATAATTTAAATTGATTATCACCCATTTGTATTTACATAATTAAAACGACATGTTTAATTAATTACGCCGCCATAAATATCGTGATCGAAATAAATGTCTCGGGCAGAGGCGACGCGTTCGATTGTAGACGTTAGGCTAATCCGACTATAGCTATGAAGCCTATCGGGCTCTGTTGTTTTTTTATTAGAAAAAAGATCGATAGATCGCGTTATCTTTTTTTCTGCGCGTGAGTGCACTAGAGGAGGTTGTATGGAACTGAGAGTGCCGCTGTGTTTGTACGGATAGGGTTACGGCTGGCGGTGTGCGTGGGCTCTACCAAGGAGGTTTGGTGTAGAGGTCCAGTTGTCGGTGTGCGAGTGAGTGCACATGGAACACACCCACTTATGCAAGTGTGAGATGAATAGTGCAGCCATGTGTTGACGCCTTTTGGACTTGTCTTTACTTCTAATTTCTATGCTCTTTGACATGAAGTGTAGCCTTGGATTATTTATAGCGACAACTTTTCTGATTCCTATATTCATTTCCTAACTGAATGGATGGAAATAATGAAAAAGAATTTTTAAAAAATGTATATACCATAGTCTACAACTTCATATAAAAATTAGAAAATATTCCATATTGTGGAGTTGTAGCTATAATTAAAACACAAATGGATCCATACATGCGTGTTTTTGAAGTATAGCAGTCTACCATTAAATATGAGCTGCCAGAAAATAGAAGATATAGAAGTATGAGCTATAGAAGGAATTGATTTAAGAAAACGAAAAAACTGATTCGGGAATTTCATTCAAATAGTTAAAGCCTTAAAATTACTTTTCACTATTATGTACTGTTAGAGCTAACCTGGAAAATGTTATGTATTGTATGACGAATTGCGTAAACAAATGGTTTGATACAAGTATATGTCTATGTCCTACTAATGTCCAATTCATACTTCATAATCAAGATATTTTGGGATAAGTTTTTGTAATTATATGAATACTTTTATTAATAACAGTTGAAACTCTTTAACTCTTTACTTAAAACTTAAAATATTTTGTCACCCGAGTGTTGTATCAAAACAGGCGCTAGCGCAATTGGAGGGGCGCAGCTCTGCCCATTCATTGAACGAGAACCCACAAAAATATACACATCTCACTCTAACATTGTGAAGACCATGGCTTGTTTTATAAAATTAATCCTATTCTATTTATGAAAAAAATCAGGGCTAAATAAAACAAAATATTTTGCGCACGTGTTTTATATGGTATTTTATGAAATGAATCATGCTAAGTCAATATATGCTGCATATTGTAATTCGGGTATAATTATAGCACAAAATAAATTTTTCATGAATAAACAATATGTTAAAACCTAAATTATTGGGAACTTTATAATATATAGTACAGTAATGCATATAGTATTACTGAAAGATTTTTAAGTAATAAAACTACATAGATAGTAATAATAACTTAGATGAAAGGATTCGATAATATCCCTAGAACCTGTAATATTACTCTTAAAATGTTTTAATAAGCAGAGTGTATCATATACATTCAGCTTAGTCTTCTGCAAAAGTGGGGTACCGTATTGAATATCTTTCTTCCACTTATAAGTATTATATGAATAATATATTTGTCATAAAATTTATAAATATCAATAATTCCTAGACATTTTCATTTCATATTCATCACAATATTACCCGCTACTGGAAAAATATTGTGTGATGAACATGGTGTTTTTCTAGTGTCTGGGTGTTTATATATGTATAATATGTATTTCTTTACAAAAGAAAAGTATGTTTAAGTATGTTTATCAGTTTTCTAGTACCCATAGTACAAGCTTTGCTTGATTTGGGACTAGAGAATGTTGTGTAAAATATGTCCTAAAATATTTATTTTATTTATTTATATAAATACAAGTACATATAATTGAGCGGTTTCTTTGCATTTTCTGCTTAATGCAGGTTAGTGAAGTTAAAATGTCTTTATGATTTTATTAATATTACAACAGCCTAGCACATGTTAAATTAGCAATAGACAATCTCATTATTGCAAAATTTTAAAGTATACATTTAAACTAAAAAACTAACAAAAAAAATTTATCGTTTTATTCGTAGGTTAACATAAAAAGTAATACTCCATTTTCAGTTTGTAAAGATTTAAATTAGTATGTAGATACTTTTGTTCTTTAAATTAATTTTATGGCTATTTCAATTAAATATAATAAAAAAATAACACGTTGTTTAACCCTAATAGTGTAAACAGACCAAGGTAACAGACAAAGGCAGGTAGATTGGTGATCATCCATCCATCGTATGATCCTACAACGCACAAATGTGGGACAGTGACGACCCAGATTGAAATTCAAAAAATAGAAAATATCCAACCAGTGACATCAAATTGCAATTCGACATCGCCAATCTCTAAGCTTGCTATGATACAAATATAGTCAGAAAGATAATACGAAATTCATTGGTGTTTAATAGAAACTCATTGGCGTACGTCACTAGGATTCTATGTCACTCGCTCAGATCATGTGATTTGTTCTAATTTATATTACCTACTACATATTTACTTTCGTCATTGTTATTATAATAAATAAAAAATAAATAATTATAATGTAAAAAGAGCAGCCGACGAAGTTACATCCCCGTAGGTCGTGGTGTACGACAAGGTCATCGACTTCCTTCCAAGGAACATCTTCGTTCTCTGAAATTGTTCATTAACGTACTAGAAGATATTTTCAAGATACTTGTTTGGGTCGCATGTACGGAAAATGAATATAAATGGCGAGTACATATATAACTTTTTATTTTTGAAGAAATGAGTACAATTACTAGATGGCCTGGCTAAAGTGCCCACTAGAAAAAATTGGATAAAATGAAGATTATTTTATTAAAACTAGATTTACTTATTTTATCACGTTTTGTTTTAATTTTATACACCCGATGTTTCGGATGCTTTAAAGTATTCGTGCTCACGGGCTAGACTGAGAAGTCAGGCGTCCTGAAGTCATTGTTATCTTGGGCTACCGTCAGCTTGAAAATTGTTAGTTTTATTCAGATCCACGTAGTAACGCTAACAATAATACGAGGTCTTGCAGTTCTGGTGCGCTCGGGTTTGGATTTAATTTTATTGATAATGCGATCTCAAGCCTATGGTAGAACCTGTTGGCGCTGCCACTGTATAGCGGATATGACGATATCTACTCGAGCCAAGGGACACATGGGCGCTTGGAGCAGCGGTCACTGGGATTTCGGCTGCGGTCCCGGACTCTGATATAACCACTAGTGCTGCTTGTCGTTATAACAGTTGTTCATATTAAAGTTCAGTAATAGTTAAAATATTAGAATCAAGGTAAAAACGTTAGAAGTCTTATAAACCCAACTAAGTTGTATTGAAATTTGTTTGTTTCTTTATTTCAATAGCCTCGCGAATAATCTTTGATAAGTTACGGTGTTTATTGCGAGAATTTGTGGTTTATCAATCCATACATACTTGCTTAAACACGGCTTCGGGCCACGTACTGTGGAAAGATGGATTCTGCATAAAGATTGATGGCGTAGCAATGGGCTGCCCAGTTTCAATTATTTATGATATATTCATGGAGGACTATCAGAAGAAGGCCCTGAGTACAGCTCCCATTCATCCAAAATTCTACATCAGGCATGTAGATAACACTTCCACTAATGTACCATTTGATGAAGTAGGTGCATTTTTAATCATCTTAACTCTATAAATTCGAAAATTAAATTCATTATGAATGGAGGGCATATAACTCTTTGCCTTTCCTAGATGTTCTAGTTACCCGCAATAATAATAACAGCTTTGCAACCTGTGACATACATTAATAACGGTTTAGAAGAGTTAAGTTTATTGCAGTCTGCAAGTAACATAAACAGAGAGAAATGCGACATGATCTAGTTTCTTATTTAAGTCAGTACTTATGGCAGACCATTGACTTTACGTAAATAATCATCTTTATCTAACTTGTACATTTACTAATTTTAATAACTAACTGTTCTGATTTTTCGTTATCCTTAGCCTCGTGCAGATTGTATGTAACCCTACATTTGGTCTTCAGCATATAATTTTTGTATTGATTTCCATGTTAATCATCGACTTACATGTTAGTCGACTTTATTTTTTGTACGTATACACATTCTATCGTTTTGTTTTGTATCTATTGCATTTAATCGCCTAAGCGAATAGTTTTCTTTCGTCTGTATAGTTGTTTGGTTTGTAAGTTTTGTTTTAAGTCGATTCCTTTGTGATCTAAGTAATACTTCGTACTACATGCGAAGAAATTGACAATAGAGGGTAGTGGCAGAGTAAATTGTGATTTGTATGGTTTAGGCTGCGAGTGACGATGGAGAATCAGCGTAAATCTTGTTAATTAATTTATTCCAAACAGAGTCGACCCCACGGAGTGTTTTCGTGCATTCAATTTCGCATTAAATTACTCATTTCCACGGCACAATAATTTTTAACTGTATCGGCACAGTTTACTGTTTTTGTCCAAAACGGTTAGATTATTGGTTTGACGACAAGTTTAGTGGAAGAATTTTTCTCACGGTTTGGAAAGTTAAAAGTTATCTGCCATCATTTTTAGCTTCTTTTAATTAATATTAACTTCTATTTAGCAGGACAGATATAAAGTTGGGTTAAATTGTAGCTAAATATAAAGAATGATTTCCTGGTTATTTTAATTATTATTTTCTTGAGAATGCTACCTAAATTTTGGCCATCGCTGGAAGCATACTTTCATTTTATTCTGATGTGTATATATTTATGTTTAAGCTTAAACATATGAAAGCAGATAACCTTCTTTTACTTTATAATTATTTAAGGAATATTTGAAACATTCTTAATGCCTCCTGTAATATAATACCGACGGTTTTGTTCGGGTTCTATTTGTTAGGAGTATAATGCAGTTGTTTAAACAAAAGCATAATTTTTTAAATGGAATAAAATTTTAAACAATTATTATATTACGCTTGGAAAATATATGTAATGATAACATGTTTCGTCTTCACTATATTGTTCTATAAATTGTAATGTTTTGTATATACGTCATAACCTTAATTATTACCTAAAGAATAGTGACAGATATAAAATAAACACTAGAAATAAGGACAAACTTACTACGCCATTGTTTCGTCTACAAAAAGTAAATAAGTCGTTCATGGGGCAAAGTGTACGCATGTATAATAAAATCCCACAGTCGATATTAAGTCTGCCGCTTGACCAATTTAAATGTAAAATTAAAAATCAACTGATGATTAAAGCATATTATACCATTTCGGAATATCTCGACGACGCCAATGTGTGGAGTTAATACTGTTGATACTCACGTAGGCTAGAATAAGACTATTATACCTGTATATTATATTGTACCCTGATATTTTTGAAAAAGAGCAACTGTTGAGTTTCTTGCCGGTCTCTTCTCAACAGAAACCGCTTTCCGAACCGGTGGTACCTTACGAACCTATACACATAATCTTTGATGTAAAATTTGACGATTCATAAGAGCGCGCAAG